GTGGCTTACAAGCAAAGCATTTAGGGGAAGCGTGAACGTTTTTAATGATGGACTATGATTAAATAGCCAGCTCGCGGTGTCGACCATATCAAATGATGTTCCTCATTCCCGCAAATAGGCTAAATAACGTAGTCCCTCGGAATTGGGCGACGACGATTGGGCACCAACTCCACTATATTTAAAACGAACTGTATTACTTGCGTGAAATTTTGTCATACCATTTTTTATTGAAAACCGCTAAAAGTAACGCTGTGAGTGGCTCACCATATGCCACAGAAAACGAGTAGCCCAACTGCAGCAAAAAATAACATGTGACCGAAATGCAGCAGATAGATGTATATATATATATATATATATATACGCTAAACCGTTAGAACCATGTCATCTGTTTTAGAAAATTGTTCAACGTTGCCAGATGCAAAAGTTAGGTTCGACCAGAACATCATCATTGAAAACGAGCCAACAATACCCAGGCGGAACGAACAACGAATCCGTTCCCAGGGACAGAAACGGAAATCGTGTAGACTAAATTTTATTATAGCCTAACAATTAGGTAAACAACTACTCGTTTAACGAGCCTGCAATTCAATTATGATTACACAAATGGCAAGTTTGCAACACGCAGAAAAGTTTATGCCGAGGGCGGGGATTCGATGGTGCAGAAAATATTCAAATGGAGCTCCTTGGGATGCAATGCAATGATGAAATAAAATCTATATCCTATTCGAGAGTTGTATCCCTACGTGATAGTTATAAAAAGTAGATTCTTGAAGAAAATAGCTATCCTAATTTGACAAACCATGCGAAAAAATTCACATCGATGTTTGTGAGTACTTATGCGTGCGCACAAATATTTTCGAAAATGAACATTACAAAGAACAAGCTAAGAACTCGGATTAGTGATGCTCATTTAGAAAATGTTCTAATCTTGGCTTCATTCAGTTCGTCACCTGATGTCGAAAAGCTATCAAGCGTAATGCAACAACAAGTGTCATATTGAATGTCATTTGTATTTTTTTCCTTTAATAAGACGACTGAGTTGAGTTAACGAATTGTCGCAGTTTTCGCGCGCTGTTCGCGCTTTTAAAAAATGTGTGCAGTCGGGTGTCTCCAAAATGTCGTGTCGCACTTGTTCCACGTGTCCTACTTGTATCACTTGTACCATGTGTACCACATGTCCCACTTGTACCACGTGTCCCACGTGTCCCACTTGTACCCCGTGTCCCATTTGTACCACTTTTTCCACGTGTACCCCTTGTCCTACTTATCCCACGTGTCTCACTTGTCCCACTTACGGGTAAGGATTATCATATTTTCGATTTCTAATTTTGAATAAAGCGCGCCAACACCGTTTTTGTAAATTCAGATAAGTACGACTAGTAAATTTTGTATTCTATGGAAATTTTTCGAGATATTGGGGACGGGGAGAAATATTATTTTGACCACGTAGAAATGCCATTATTGCCGATTTATTCAAGAATTTAGTATCAGTGTTTCATTCCAAAGCTGAGTTACGTGAATTCTCAACACTGAGTATTAGAAAGATTATCAATTTGCGGAGTTTTTAATTATTATCATTTAATACGAAAGTAACACGGACACGATATAAAATTAAAAGCATAAAAAAGTCAACTATCAGCTTCACAAATATCGCATTCCGAGGTCAGTAATACTGTTCGCTTAAAATTGGGACCTCAATACACAAACTGTGATACAAATCCTACAAAAAAGATAAAAAGTAGCATAAAATTAATTTGTATTGTGAATGCACTCCTTAATAGTTGTCTTTGACATCGTTGACGATGTGAAATCAAATTTCTGTCCAAAAAATAAAAACCAAACTGCGATATCCGCCGTTGCATGAGAATTAATATTTACTAGTGAATAAAAAGTGCTTTAATATAGTTTATCATCATCAATTGGGATGTCGAGCCGCCGAAAGGATCGCGGTGACTGTTTACTGCGGCCTTGGATTATGACAAAATTAGGAAATAAAAATCGCTGCATTGTTGCGAAGTTTTCAGTCTTCGAGTAAATTCCGAAAAATAAAATTGTCACGGCGATCGTTTCGGCGGCCGACATCCAAATACGATTGTTTGAAATGACAATACTCATTATTCGGTGTTGTGTTCGTTGAAAATATTCGAATAATTCGACTAAAAAAACTATTTGCCCATCACTAGTCACGAATCATGTTAATTATCTTTGAATGGCAATTAAAAATCAACTTGTTTAACATTAAAATCCAAGTAATAGTTTCACATTTGATGTATTTGATCGGCGCTACATGCGAGCGTGTTTTTGTACTTATAAACGATTTTGACACTACTGACATCCGAGTTACACTTCTCTCAAAATTAATTTTCACGATTTCTGATGTTCTATTTTCAAATGCGGGTTCTGCTGACTACGGATTAATGGTCGATATTTGAAATAGGACTTCACCATAAACCGCCAGGCACATTAGAGGCGGGCTACACGTAACTGTGGAATTTCGCTGTGAACGACGCATTCTTTACAGTTTAACGGCCTACGTCGTCGTGAATTGCACTTTGGGTGCTCTGTTTTTATTTCACCGAAAATTTTGGCTGCGCCCATGTCGGTACCTATCCGATATCAACCCGGCTATATTCCGGCACTGATAAACCAAGTCATAATTTGTCACCCATGTCATCAATAACCAAATCTTTTGTGCTTGCTATTACCAGAAAGCCTATGTTGAATGAAAGTGCGGCCTGCGGTTTTACTCAGTTATCTTTATCTGGTCCTCCTGTATTAAATGTTGCACACCCTTGATTTTAACTACTTGAATTGCTTTGCAACTCAGTTCTTCGCTTGATATTTATCATGTTTTTTCCGAGTTTCGTCATTTTTTTCTGTAAACTTAGAGCAATAAGAGAATAATTCAGGTAGTTTGTAGACTAATATGATATGTAAAAGTTAATAATGTCCCGAGCAGATGTTGACATTATCTATCAAACCAATAAATTATAGCCCCATCTTACATGAATACTACCATATTATTTTATGATATTTTTACCATTCTATTGCATTTTTCTCTCCGATTTTATATGTAACTGCAATACTTTATATTTTTTCTGCCAAGATGTTTGTTATTTTATTGCAAGCATGAATTGATTTTACTATTTTATACCAATTTCTTTTTATTTCTATGTTAAATTCCCTTATTTTTTTCATCTTCAAGTCATTCGTACTTTATGATACTAGCCCAATTGAAAAAATACTACAATCACAATTTCTTAAATCATTGTGATCATATATATTTTGGCGCATCCACTACAAAGAACATAAAGTAATGTTTTTGATGGAATTAGTTTGCTTTACGAATGCGTCTTTCTAACAAAAATAAACGAATTGTTTCAATTGAGCATTGACTGATTGATCATATACTATAGCTAAAGATAGTATTATTTATTACGTAATTTGTCTACAAATATCTCATTCATTGGGGGCACGTTTTCCAAACTGGAAAAAAATTTATCCCCGTCGAGCAACTTTGTCCTTTTGAGAAGGAATCGGCTCTGTATTTGCTGTAGCATTACTGATTTCCCAAAGTTCGCTCTGCCTACTATAATACAATGCACACATTCAATTAGAAAATACTGGAACTGTACAAAATCGGTTTTTTAACTAGGGCAATAGACAAAGATCTAAGGATTAAATTAATACAGTAGTTTTTATGCATAGTGAGGGAAGAATAAAAAGGTTGAAAGATTTGATAAGGGAGTGGTTTAACGGATAAGGATTGGAACCACATGACTGTTTTGTCCACATGTACAATATGTATTTTGTGCACATGTATCCCATTTATCATACATACCATTTAACAGATGTTTTGTCCACCAACAGCTCATTTGTGAAATGTTTTCTTTTCATACATGTCGTTCAGGGGTTTTGTCCACATATATTTCATTCACCATATATTTTGTCTATATATATTTCGTTTTCCTCATATACCAGTCGTCGTGATTATTCACTCGTTAAAAAAACGACTTTTTCTGTGAGACTATTCTGTGGCGTATAATATTCAATCCATGGTGATTAACTTAATTGTGTCTAACGTAACTCGCGGTGGCGACTTTCAAATACATTGCTACTCTAAAAAAAACAGATGTTATATGCGGATATAAACACACGGGATAAACAGTCTAATAATAATTAGTTTTGATAGGTATGTTTGCAATCTTGCTAATTCGTTATCGCCATTAGGAATCCGTATTTTTGCCATTCTGCGAATTAGAAGTGGTACACGTGGGACAAGTGGTACACATGGGACACGTGCAACAAGTGGTACACATGGGACACGTGGAACAAGTGGACACGTGGGACAAGTGAGACGCGTGGGACATGTGGGATAAGTGGGACACGCCTATTGGAGATACGTGTGCAGCCCGCCAAGACTTGCAACCCTTAATTTCGGCCCGCGAGCGAAAGAAGGTTGTCGACCCCTGGTTTAAACAGACAAATACCAGGCAAATATAGGATAAGGAATATTACTTCATATTATCGCCAATAGGAATTATTTTGGATGCTTCCTAACCTCGGGTGAAAAACGATATTTCTTAACTTAAATGCGACCTATTTTTACAGATAGAATATGAATTTCGCATAACAAATAAATGTATTATTTGCTAAATTTGATACCGCATTGAAGAGGGTCACGTAACCTTGAAATTGAGGCCTTATACGAAACTATGCACTTGGAAGGTAGTGATTTGTGTGCATATCTCTTAGCATCGCTCCTTGTTCTGTCGTGACTTTGTTATTGCCTGAATTGAGGGGAATGATCTCATTGGAAAACAGAGAATCTCGTAACGTCTGCATTTTGATATTGCATAAACTGAGCATGCAGTGGAAACGTGCGTACTGCATGGAAAACTAGGGAAGTATACTTGCTTCTGCTGACATTCCCGATTTAATATTGCTTTATCTGGACATATTTTCTCATTTCGTTCAAAACTGTCGAACGTATAACAATGATCTTCTCAAGTTGTGTCTTTGTTTTGATGGTCTGCTTGATGTTCAAACCAGCAGTTGGAAAACCAGAATACCTTCGCGAAAACGAAAACTGCGCATTGTCTGTATCTGATGAAGTGAATTATAATATGGTGAGCATTGGTAATAATCATTAAGTTGAAAGAACAAATACTTGGCGATAAAAGGGGTTCAATTAAATTACGCCACCAGCTGTTTATATCTATGTAAGAAATGTAGGCTATCTCTTCTATATAAATCTTGTATCACTATATTGCAGCTTCCTGATTCTTGGTATCACATCCTAATCACCAATGATCGAGTTGAACGCGGTGTACCATGTTATGTGATCAAATATTTCAGAGAAACTCCTGACGAAATTTTTGCTCAAATCCAGGGTATTTCATCAGCGGAAAAGTAAAGAATTTTGATATACGTAGATAATTTATTTTAAAATGGTTACCTACTAATCGGTTCTACTATTCACTGCCTTATAGGTCTTCGGGATTATAGAAGTTAAAAAAAAAATTCAACCGGGTATAAGCGGCGTTAAAAGATGACAATAGCGAATATAGTCGAACGAATAGGTGAACTTTCGATATTGGGACTTGAGATCCGAAATTGAACACACCGACGTGTTATCGCTTCTAACTTTGTCGTCTGGTCAGCATTGAGTTGGTTACGGATTGAGCCAAAATTAATTTTGCACCCGTATACTGAGCTAAAGTTTTCCTTATCAAGGATATAAATCTGGTTTTTTGAGTGAGAATCTGTCTGACATTTTCTGAATTTAAGATTTATAAAAGTTGTAACAGCCGACAAATCATAACAAATCATAGGAGAGTGAATTCTCCAGACCTAGGGAATTGCTCAGCCGGATATTCTATGAACTGATGCTGGGAGTGGTATACAATATTACTTTTGTAACTGAATGTTTTAAGACTGACGTAAATGAGATTACAAATTAAATATTTAGTTTCTGAGTAAAGGCTTACGTTTTCCTTAATTTTTTCTACACAGAAGAACAATGTCAATCAGTGAAGTCATACCATTCCGTTGGTATCAGAACGGAACTTCAATTACAAGATACGACACAAGTTTCGGTTTACAAAAAAATTTTTCACTTATTAAATTTATATTTGAAGTATTTTAAACTTAGATAAAAAGATGATCATTTTTTGCAGATTTTTTGGGGATGGATGTGGAAAAACGTAACGGAGCGTCGGGAGGTGAACTCCTATGATAACTTTCATTTTCACTACTATTTATATTGTTATAAATTATTTTAGTTGAAAAATTGATCAAATCAGATGCACTCAGAAAACACCTATGTTGCAAATATATATAATAAGGAAACCAAAGTTGAAAAAACCTTAATGTCAAACTCTTGATGAACAAACTTATTATCAGAATACAATCTTTATACTACTAGACATATGTACCGAACGTGAATGCATAGAGGAAGATAGTGACATAGCTGATTAATAATTACACTTTTTTGCATTGCAGAGATGCGGTACATTTATGAGCATCCGTTTAGTTGCTTTACAGATTATGGGCATTATTTACTGTGCTTGCAGTGTGGTAGAGAAGGTCGGTATGGATTTCAACAAAACACTTTCCTGCTTTAATACAAACAAATATCAGTATAAAAATATATTCTTAAATACTCTACATTCACCAAGCCTTGCACGGACGGTTTATTTAAAACACTCGAATTTTGATTATTGGGTAGATATTTCGATTCGCAATTTTCTTACATTAAATCTATAAAATTATTCGTTCGTTATCATCTGCCAATAGTATGAATGTTTTCCCGACCCTTGACCCCAAGAAAATACTTTCTAGACATTGACACAGAAATAAACAAGAAACCCAAACCTCTTGGAAACATAGCATTGCATTCTTTTAAAAATTGTATGTCAAAAATCACGTTCCCATTGCTGAAATCAAAACTATTTCATGATATCTTAGAATTGGTTTTAAAAAAGGAAGCTGGTTAGCTTCCACGGTTACTTGGGAAATCAATTACTTTGTATGAAAAATACTTTCAATTCTTATTTTCCAGGTCCAAAGTATATATGGGCTCTCAGTCGAAATCCACACCCCACTGCAGAAGACATTCTACGAGTGCACAACAAGCTTGTTACGATCGGTGGTGGCTGGAGCGCTGTTCCCTTGTACTTATCAGGCTGTCGTAAATTTAGCATGCCAGAAAGAATTGCTTATTAAAATGCTAATGTCTACATATTTGTCAACCAAGTGTGTTTATATTTACATAATAACTAAATATTATATCTAATATATGTAATTGATGTTATACAATGTTAAACATATCGAAAAAGTAACCCAGTAATCGCATGACCTATTCAAAAATGTAAGTTTTAGAGTAAGTTTGTTATATCTAATGGCATACCCTTTAACTTTAGGACAGCTGAATAAAATTGCTAGAACATTTAACAATAAAAATATTAATTCATATTCAGCTTTTGACCTTTCATTTCAAAATCGTTAGTCGTAGGGACTGTGTCCGAAGTGTGTTTCAGCTATCCGTCTCATCCGGCTAACTGTAGGCTAGACTTTGACTTCAGATCAGTGCCTTTTACATGCGAATGAACATTCTGGTGAAACTCGCGGCTGGTTTTACGCAACGGGCGGCAACTAACTTGCCTAATGTTAATCGCTGTACTCTCATGTTTCTAACCGTCTTCTCCCTAATAGAGAATTCTTCACCCACATGAATAACGAATAAATACTGCACACAATGTGCTGATTGTGGGCTAACGTTGTCGAATTCATCCTAGACGCGTCGTTTTCAATATAACGATTATGATTTGTTACCCAACTATTGCTTGTTATACAGTCTGGTTCATAGGGACATAATAACGATGAAACATCATCATAACAAATAGTTATATTCTTACGCAAAAATCAAGAGAATTGAAAAATTACGTTTTATTTACAATTTTCACAATGTAAACCATGTAATCCGGGCGGACACTCACAGTAAGCAAATCTATCAGACAAGCCTTGTAAAATGCAACTAGATTTATCGTCGAGAAATTCTTGTAAGAGGGCATACATTAGATGCACATATAACCATTCGAGATTGGGAAAATAGTACCCTGGCTCGGGATTTGAAAAGAGAGTAAAGTCATGAGCTGTGTTTGGCATTGATCTTGCATCATCAGGTGATTTGAAGAAAAACCACCCATTTGGAAACGCACCATAGTATTTTCGAATCTGCTGCAGTTCATAATCCATACTCCATCCTTCCCAATATAATCGAGTTCCAAACGTTTCTTCCAGTATAGAACGAATTGTGCCAGCAGTTGAAGCCGCCGAGCTGATGAACACGTTGCTCAAGGACCTGATCTTACAAGTAGAACCATATAAACACATGAAATGCCCACATAGAACTTGTTCAATCATTTTGGTGAAGGCTCCGATAGCAAATAGTTTTAAATCATCATCCGCGTTTGTAGCTAAAGAGTAATGTAATAAATTATGAGCAATGGAAAGAAATATCAGTAAAAGATTGAAAGACGTTTTACCTCTGGTTTTAAACCCATCCGGATCCTCTTCTACGCTAACTTTTTCCGAAGCTTTTAAATGTCCAAGACGATGTAACTGGTTCAAATGTACTAAATTGTTTTCTATAAGCCTTCTCAGAATATCCAATTGATTTTTTGTGTATGTTGTTTGCACTAAAAGACAACAAAAGTAACGTTGTCATTGATTGGCTTTTTAATAATCCATGGCAGAAAATTGAACAAGATGACGACCAAATTATAACCTACAATTTTAACCGTTACGTTCCATAACCGTATACGAATAAAAACAATTATACGCCTTACCAGATGGACACCACTCCGTTGCCAAAAATGAAGGAAGTTCTAATGCCAAATAGATCAATACGTGTTGCTTCACCCTCATTTTGTTTGTGAGGGCATCGTGATAGCTTCGTCCAGATAATCACAGCAATGCAGCATAAACTCTGAATGGGATGTGCGTAAGTGAAAAATAACAGGAAATGGCCAATGATGACGCAAATAATTAGCTCGCTTTTCAGGACAAATCAGTCCACCCTTTTCGTCAAATCTTGGCAAATATTTCAAGGTTAAAATATGTACCAAAACTACCAATTAGATATTCTAATGATCACTCCAAATCGGCGTTGATTTACTCGATTGTATTGGGAACAGTCCACATCGTAAATTTTCGTTTGTATTTGAATTGATGTGGTGGTATATTACAATTAAAACGACAGTATAGTTACTGCGAGAGTCCACAACAAGCTTTTCGATGGTTTATGAACCATTGTCCCCATAATATGTAACTCAAATAAATATATGTCTTACACACATATATAATATAAATGTATTGTTGACTTATTGTAATTCTTCGAGATTTCTGTTATTTCCCACACGATTGTAATTAATGAAGTGCTGGGAGGTGACCACACGATAGTTAAAACTGATTACATCATAACACAAGTGAATGGCACAAGTGTGTGTGTATGTGTTGTATGAAAGTATATGGCGCTTTCAATAATTCTTCAATAAGTCTTTTGCGCCAGGAAATTTAAAAACCAATTTTTAATATGCCCATATTCATCTCCTGATGGAGTTTACAAAATCCTCAGTGGAGGGAATAAATTAGGTATTTGTCTTCCATTACTGTACGCACGGCAGTTCATTCGAAAATGTTCCACAGTCTCTTGAAAAATCGCAAAAGCCAGTATTATGAAATCCTATATTATGGAGGTGCTCATTTAAACGGCAATGTCCCGTCTGGAGTCGAAGTAAAATTGTGTCCATTAATCGTGGTAACCATGTCGATCTTTATGCAATTTTTAATTGAGGGGAAAATGGTCTTGTAATGAGCCTATTGGTCACTTTATTTAAATTACTTATCCTGGACAATCTTTTACTAACATAATTATATATATTATATTCAATTAAAGAGTCCAGCTGCACACTACCCCAAATGTATTTCTGTGTAAAGTTTCGTTAGACCAAAGTCTTTACTCAACTTTAATTGGATAGAATAGTCATATTTATTCCTACGCATACGAATCCACTAACATAAAGGCATGCCATATAGAGGAAAGCTATAGTGAGCTAGTCTCGCGCAACCCAACTCAAATCATTATATTTTGTCGGCCTTTTCGTTACCCGGAATGGCAACATTCCCGGGAGACCGAAGTAAAGTGATTTCGCATCTCTGTTCTTGTAATTAAAAATGCAGGCTTGAATATTTGAAGCTAAATTACTTATTTTATTGGAGTTGTAATTGAAAGCGTGAATGTAAGACATACAATCTGAGCTTACAAGTTTATTCCCTGCGGGATAGTTATTTATTGCCCATTCCAATGCAGTATAGACTGCAAAAACTTTGCAATCGAAAGAGGAACAGTCCTTGTCAGGTCTAAATCCCATACAAATATTCCTATATAAAATAAAAATCTCAGAACCGGATTCATTGAAAAATTTGAACTATCTGTACATGTGCAATGGTTATGATTCGCTCATATAATCTAAATTCTAAACGTATGGATTTTATTTGATCCGTCATATATATAACAAGAGTATACTCGATAATGTATTGTCGACGTTAATTTCATACATGTACAATGGTAGAATTTCTTCAAGTATAACAATACTTATATTAATTTTTATAATATCAAAAGTCCATACAATCATACCAAATGTACGGAAACTTGTAGAGTTGGGAAATATCTGATGTCGTGAATGGTCGATGTTTTCTTAGCGAGGATGATCAACAAATGTCAGCAGTTTAGCTTTATATAGAGTAATTGCATCTGCGTTTATTAAATGGCATCTCGTTACAAAATAACTTGTAGTACACATATTGTCGTAGCCTACTCGTCAGGCCACGTGCAGCGATGCGTAGACATGGAGATGCCATTGCCATTTTTGTATGGCATATATTAATGCTGAAAAATACACTTCCACAGCATATTCGATAAGGGGTCGAAATAATAATCTGTTCAATGATAAAAGAGGGAAGTTTTTAGCTCCCCAAGTAGTTCCATTAGGCAAGCGCAGTGGATTAGTCTGTTCACTGCATTTTTCTACAACATATTCGGTATGTCTTTTGTAATTTAGGCGTTTATCAAAATATACCCCCAACGTACTTCATTTCCGATTTTTATGACGTTTTGATTCTGTTTTTCACTCTTGTTTAATGTGTAGTTGTATTGGTGGTGATTTTTTCGGCTGAAGATTAGTAAGTACTACGGTAATGTTGATTTGGCGACCGAGATCCTAAAACCTCAATGATTGCATCAGGATTGAATACAATTCCGTGTTCCGCGAGGAAACGATCGAATCCTCAATTTTGAGTTTAATGTGCCATAGTGCGCTATCGTCGGCGCAAACAACCCAACATTATCTGATGGAATAGTCCTAGGCAGTAGGCATATCGTTTATCATTATATTAAGAAACCTAGAGTTTCTGTGATGAAGGCCAAAAATTGTATTGGGTCCTCAGATATATGTGCACTTTCATTTTCGTTTACTGTTCAAAATTTAGGCAACTAGATTAGCTGATAATAGGCGCTTCTTGAGGCGACTTGTATAGGGGAAGATGTCCAGTAGTGGGATTCAAATTTTTTCGTCAGCCGATTCCATCACAAAATAGGGGAGATGTGGGACCTGCGACGCAAGGGGGCCGATGCAACAACGCTAATTCTCGACACCTAGTGGCCGAATTCTAATTTCAATTTCGCCATGGCATCGAGGTTGAGTCGTCTTGCATTCTTGAGAAACGGTGGTAAATGTATTTTTAAAAAGCGATCAGGCTAAGCGAATGGCATATGCGTATGCGTTGAAGAATAGAAAAAATATTCCTAGCAGTTGGAGCAGGAACGGTTGTGCAGGTGAGGATTGGCTTAAAGGATTTCGGAGGAGAACAGAAAACTTGAGCCTTTGCCAGCCAGAGCCAACAAGCAAGGCTAGAGCAATGGCTTTTAACAAGCATAACGTTGAAATTTTTTTCGATAACTTGAAAAAATTGTACATGAAACAAAGACCGATTTTACCACAAAATATTTGGAATCCTGACGAAACAGTCATTAACACTGTTGTTAAAACCCCGCAAGTTATCGCAGAAATAAGGAAGAAAACAGGTCGGAAGCATACCATCAGCGGAACGCGGCGTTACTGTCACAATCAGAGCGTTCCCCTTCACCCAATCATTGAAACATCTACTCGCAGTTTTATTTTTTGTTTTTCAGGTTACTTCAAAGTGATTAAATGAAGTAAAACACATAAGGAAAAAAACAAAAAAAGACTCCCGATATCCTGTGAAATAACAACCTCATTCCCATATCCTTGTCTGAAATCAATACCCAAGAATGAAAAACCTCACTTAGACCCTTTGTAACCAATTTATTTCCACATCCTACTTTACTTAATTATAGTAATTTTACTGTTACCGGTAACTTAATTACTTATTACAATCTGGACTATAATTTGGCAATAATAGGCTCTAATTTGGGGAATGAAATGGTCTCGCCCACCTCTTCATGCACCTGTAGCGAATGTGCATTGTGTAACTATGGATTATAATGTATTTTACCCTTTCATATTAATAGCATGTAATATTTCACAAACTAGGCCGCATTATGTTTCGCAACAGCGATAATGCATTCGCTCCATGTATTGCCTTTCTCGTTTCGACCAATTTGATAACGTATCGTTTCCGGTCTGCCGAGAATGCTCTATAATATTGTGCTTTTCTTGTTCACTCGATTTATGACTTGGATCTGACCGTAATCTTACTGCATTAGGAATTAAGTGTATACAATTTTATCTGTATTTGGAATTTGGATCGTGCATCTTTTCAATAATATACAACAATTCGACAATCATCATCGTGTGCTTATTATCGTCTGAGGGAATCCAGATTGGAGTCACATTCCATAACACGTGAAATTAATAACGTGGGAATCGATAACGTAGGGAGGGAGGTTCAAAGTTCGATTCCCACGTTATTAATTTCACGTGTTATGGAATGTGACTCCAATCTGGATTCCCTCAGACGATAATAAGCACACGATGATGATTGTCGAATTGTTGTATATTATTGAAAAGATGCACGATCCAAATTCCAAATACAGATAAAATTGTATACACTTAATTCCTAATGCAGTAAGATTACGGTCAGATCCAAGTCATAAATCGAGTGAACAAGAAAAGCACAATATTATAGAGCATTCTCGGCAGACCGGAAACGATACGTTATCAAATTGGTCGAAACGAGAAAGGCAATACATGGAGCGAATGCATTATCGCTGTTGCGAAACATAATGCGGCCTAGTTTGTGAAATATTACATGCTATTAATATGAAAGGGTAAAATACATTATAATCCATAGTTACACAATGCACATTCGCTACACAATTCCTCTCCCTATACACCCAATTCTGGCAACTTTGGTTGGGCAACTTGGCATTTGACTCCAACTATAATCAGCTTGGCAATATGTTTTCAATAGAATCTTCCTTTTATATACCTAATTAACGATTAGAAGATCGATCAATTTGGCAATGGCAACCATTACAAAAATATCAATATGGTGTGGCAGATAATTTTCTTTTCTAGTATTTATTTATTTATTTTTTTGTTTACTGTATAGTATACCCTAAATTTATCGCGTTTCATTCTTACTTAAATAACTTCTCAGTGGTTGTGTGTGTGTGTGGCTGGTGGGTGCATGTGAGCGTGTGTGAAATAACTTGATAATTTTAGGTGAGTAAACACGTACCACTTCCTCTTGGCAAAACCTTTCATCTTATATTTTGTACGTTATAAACCTTATCTAAGGTTTTGTTTGCTCCCCTGATTTCATAATCAGATTTTATTTATTTGTTTTTATCTGTCAAATGTATTGTTATGCTGATTATGGAGTCGAAATAAACTTATACTTATACTTATACTTATACAATGTGCGCATGCGTGAACGCCATAGGAAACGCATTGCCACCGGCTTTTGTCTTTCCTCACGTCCAATTCCAAGATAGAATGCTTAGAGATGCCTACCTGAGTGTCTTGGTCTTGCTTGCCGGTCAGGGTGGATGACAACAGAAATTTTTTCAGAGGTTCTCGCACATTTCCCCTGGTTGATGAAAGTTTCGAAGTCAAATCCCGCAATTCTTCTAGTGAATTATCATACCAGCCACATATCGCTGGGAGTTATTGATATGTCACGCAGTCATGGATTGCATATTCGCACGTTTTCTCTGCACTGCAGCCACAAGCTTCAACCTCTGGATGTTAGCGTATTTGACCCTTTTAAAAGAGAATACGCATCTCAATGTGATTCCTGGTCAGCTACCCATCCAGAAAAAGTGATCACTATATACGAAGTTACTGCATACGCTGGCGCCGTTATGTTGAACATTACAGCTAGATTTCTTACAACTGGAGTGTACCCGTTCGATGTCCGAGGGTTTCTTCGTCGAATAAAAGATCCAACAAAAAAAAATTATAATCCGCAACTATAACAAGCACACCGGAAAAGACGAAGCTGGAGCAGCTCAAGAAAATAAAACCTTACTAACGACGAAAACGCCAGGCCTTGAATAGCAGCAGCAACTCATACAAGTGAAGATGGTGTAATTTCTGTTCATCCAGATTCTTCGGTAAATGATGATGCTTCATCCGTAAAAAATACTGGAGACAATTTGGTGTTACGAAAAACGTCCTACGATGACTATGTTTTAGCAAAAGTATACGACGACACTAACGAGAGATGCAAGATTTTCGTTGGGTTATTGGTTGGTGGACCCGATGATGATGATGAATTTGAAGTAAAATTCATGAAAAAGTCTGAAAAAATAAGGAATGGATTTGTGTTTCCACAATTTGAAGACGTAGCTTCTGTTAGACGAGGAGATATCGTTAGGGTGCGGAATGACCCCGCACCTGTGGCAACGACCAAACGCCTCTCTGGCATTTATAGGCTTATGGATGTTGATAAACATGAAATCTTACAAAGATAAAACATATTGTTTCGTTGTTTCACCCTATTTATGCTCTTCTGCACAAATTTTCATAAAGTACTGTTTTACCGTTTCATAAACTCAACTCAACCAATTATACAAAATTTTATAAATTTATTTTTTCAATAAAGTCCACAGTTTTGTATGAAGCGAAAATATTTGACCGTTTAATGCGTTATGGGCACCGTCTCACGGAATTTTATGAGATCAGCGAACCGGTTAGCATTACTGAAAAAAAAACATGACTTTTTGCAACGAAACCGGCTGAAAATATGACATTTGTGTGATGGAACCGGCTGACAAAAAATTTGAATCCCACCACTGGGTATAGTACTTAGTAGAATGCAGGAGGCCAACCTAGCTGCTGTAGTTAATAAAATATTATATTAAAACCAAAAATGTCTCGCAGGTCCCACATCCCCCCGACATATTTTTCAGTCGGTTCTGTTACAAAAAGTCCCATGTTTTTTAGCAAATAAACTGAACTTTTTTAATTACTTCCCAATTAATATTTCAAAATAATGGTTAAGTAAGCATCATTATGTCAGAATTAGCAACGAAATTTTTGATGATGTGAAGGATTGTTACTTATCGATTTTAATCAGTAAGTATGTTGATAGGTATTTGTCTGTCTGTTAGATGCAAGCGATATCTCACGAAAGCGAGATTGAATCTGCTCCAGATTTTTCATGTGCATTCATCATATGTCGGACCAGAATTCTATTGATTTTGGATGAATTATGTCGTATAATTAGCGAGGTAATAAATAATTAGTGAGTAATTAGTGAATAATTAGTGATCTTACCTATGGGGTAAGATCGCTGTTTTGGGGGATCCCCTAACTTTCGATCGATAAATCTTCGGTCTTTGACCGATATTCTCGTTTATATATTGCTGTATATATTATATACTCGTTGATAATGAACTTAAAAACCTGAGGGGTGTATGATCTAATGAAAACACATGCTTGAATGTTGATATTCTATAAAAATGCTGTTATTCTATACCGTGTTTCCCCGAAAATAAGACTTACCCTGAAAATAGGACCTAGCCTGAATTTTAAAAATGATTTTAATATAAGCCCTTCCCTTAAAATAAGACCTAGTCAATAACGTGAATTTTTTTTTACCTAGTCCATCCATAGCAAGAAATCTCTCCTACCCGTTTTAAATGATTAATAATATACGTTTTGCAGTTATTTTTAATGAAAACGTGTTACGGTATTTATAAGTAAATAGATATAGATTTTCATCGATTGTATATTTGAAAATATCGCTATTCTCTATTTTGATTTTGATAAATGAAAATATAAGACATCCACGAAAATAAACCCTAGTGTTATTTTGCAAAAGAAAATCGAAATAACCCCCAGTCTTATATTCGGGGAAACACGGTATAAACAACACATTATTACGTCATTATAAAGCAACAAGACTGAGAGCTGCACGGAATTTCAAAATTAAAAGCGTGTTGTTTATAAGTAAATAAATAACGATTTTCATAGTTTGTATATTTGAAAATCTCTTAATTCTCTATTTTGTTTTTGATAAATGAAAATATAAGACTTCCCCCCAAAATAAGCCCTAGTATTATTTTTCGAAAGAAAATTGAAATAAGACCCAATCTAATTTTCGGGAAAACACGGTAATAAAAATAAACACAGGAAATCTTTATCAAAGAAAAAAAAGTTCACTGAAATTAAACTTTTGCTGTTTTTACATCAAATATTTCCAACCGGTTTGCTGATCTTATAAAATTCCGTGAGACGGTTCTATAGAAGCGGTGCGAACCGGCTGAATCCCACCACTGAAGATGACCCTAACTGCGTGTCAGATTAGCAGAGTAAACCCCAACTGACTCCTACAGAGGTCAATAGGCACACAATATATTGTAATGCCAAATGTTCGTGTATTGTGAAGTTGCACGATCGAATTGAATCCTAATAGATATTTTGAAATATACACTGGAATCTTAATACCAGATATACGGTTGAAGTCCAAATCAGTAAGCAACATAAAAACATGAAAAACACTAAATTCTGAACTCTCGAATGGAGGCCGGAAACTAGTCACAAATTCGTCGATACTAAGCAACATAAAGAGTAAAGCCTTCGCTAAGTTAATCGTCAACAGGGAAATTGAATGAGCTATTTTAATTGAATTCAACTTGATATTAATACGAAAGGGTTAATTATTATCAGCGTAAACTTGGAGGGAGCTGACTCCGTTGACCGCATGGTCGTATCGCTCCGTCCAATCTATACCGAAAAAAGTGTATTTTTTGTAGCCATTATTTATTTATTGTTATGACTGTTTTTTTCTGGTTGACGAAATAAAATCTCTCTCGCATCAAAATTCATAGTTATACTCCACATTCGCTACACTAGTATGTTCACAATATATCCTGCGACTTTCTAATCATAGGAACAGGCGTTCTTGAAAATGAGCTTTACCGGGAGAGTCGGAAAGTCATTTTCCTAAAATTGCTCAGGTTTTGGATTAGTGCGGCTAGCATGGTTCTTCGCTTCCTCATACGGTAGTTTAGTATTCGCCATTCTTTTTTTGTATCAATCATTCCCGTTTGTATACTTCGCGAACACAATAAGCAGCGCTGTGTTCTTGTCCACAATTACATCATCTTTAAGTTTCGGAATCACATTTACTATATTCGTGGTTTCGGCCGCACTTGGCGTAGCGAACTTTCTGACTTTGCGTCGATAACTTTTAGCCTCGCGTTTCAAAATATGTTCATTTACTTGTTAATCGGCATGGGTATTGTATTGGAGTGTTCGTGAAAGTCGAAAGGTGCGTGTTCTCTATAATCAGTCAGTTTGTAATGTTAGAACTGTTTATTGCCGGCTGTTTCATTCCATCATCTTTCAGACTGCCAGATATCGTATAATAGGTAGGCTTACCGTACGTCCCGCTTTTCAGCGTTTTGTCCCGCCGTCCCGATAAGTCAGCCAAATGTCCCGCTTTTCCAGCATAATACACAAATATGTTCTCGTTACTGTTGTTTCTGTGTAGCGCAGCGCTAGCCTACTTACTGAAGGTGAATGCGTTCGTTTCCCGCTGATTCCCACTGATGGCAGACGTACCGTATCGCATGTAAAATCAATACTAATTAGTCTAAATTCGAAATATTTGTACCGGTACCATATTTTTGTGACTTCAAATCGGGACGCCTCGAAAGACAACGACCCCTTAGCTGTGATTTTATAATTCACATTTTCCGATTTTACTACATAGGCCTACATTCCTACATTTAAAGCTGTCTCGGCTGTCTTTATTGACCATATTGTTATCGAAATTTCATGCGCATATTTTCTGTCAAAATATCGGGTTCAGTTCGAAAAATATGAAGGAATTGACTTTAACGATACCGGTAACTGTAATAATAGGTAGTGAGCAATCGTGAATTTTCCGGCGTGGATTTCGCACGCGGCATTTTCGGGGAGCACTAGTGTAGCTACTCAGAGTGCACCTGTCATGGAATCTAGACTGGTTGAGTTGTAAGCTCATCCCCGGAGTCTTTGTTTTCCTAATCTAGTTACCGGTACCATAAAACGCTGATATTTAGGTTGGCGTCAGTCAACATTGTCTGATTGTGGAAGGTGAATGAGTGGTGTTGCAGCAGCTTGACATAGTCAGATGGTGTCGCTTTATCCGTAACATATTCCGTTTATTTCCCAGACAGTGAAAATTAATTGCACACTACAGCACTATCCTCAATATAAATATATATCCTCCCTTTCGTCAATATTTTGAGCAAATAATCAATGTGTTTATATTATTTTTATCAAGGTTTTCAACATTTATTAAAGAGCATGAATGTTTAAGAATATCAGTCAAAAACCAATTTCATTTTCATGTTGCTATTTTGGGACAAATTAAACAAGAGAGATGTATCGGCCATTTTCAACATTCGGATAGCAAAACACTATGGAAATCAGTCAAAGCTGAAACCAATAAAGCTGGAGGCCGAGGGAAAAGAACTGTGAAAAAGAAGGAGATTGATTTTAGTGTTGGTAAAGGGAAAGGTGAAGGAAGAGAAGGATATTTATGGCCAGGTCTTAAACAGACATTGAAGGCAAATCATGAAACGAACACCAGAGGAACAAGCTTCGTTTGAAGAGAAACAAAATGAAAAACCTGATTCAAAAATTAGGAGGAAATTTAAAGTTGACAGTAGCACCAGAGGGTGGTCAGGGGCTAATTATGGAGGCCAACGCATTCTTCCACCAATGGATGAAGATGAGAGCTTATCTCAGTTTGATGCTTTTCTTTTGAACGTTGCCAGAGTTTCACATATGAGAAATAGTATTGGCCGAGAGTATTCATTTCGATCGATTGTTAGTGTTGGAAATGGAAATGGCACATTTGGTGTTGCAATGGCGACTTCAAGTGATGTTGCTTCTGCTTCTCGGAAAGCAAGAATGAAAGCACTTAGGAGGCTTCAATTTATAGAAAGGTTGGTAGTTCACCATCGTTTCAGTTGTTAAAATATCAAATGTTTAGAAATATTTGGTAGTCAACAGCTGTTTCAGTTGTTAAAATATCAAATATGTAGAATTAAGTTTTCAAAATCTCACGTAACGCTCACTAATTTCACAACCTAATTGAACTCCACATTAAATTTCCTGCTCATCTCGAAGTTATGATGACATATGACTAGAATGGTCTACCACTCTCTATATTGACAGCTCATCCTCAAGATCCTCTCTCCTCATCCTCTCATACATTTATAAGGAAGATTGTTACTGACAAAAACAAAAGGGTGTCTAGATGACTGAGTTGAAATAAGATTGGTTGTAGTTCTATCCCAACCCTAAAAATCCACTTTGCTTTATATGGAAATTGAAACTTCTGAATCAGTTTTTTCTCATTTTTGTTTCAGTCACTCTTATTAATATCTCTACATACCGCTCTATAACTTTCTTTACTCTACCATAATGGGACCATATAGTTGCTTTGCACTTTTCTTGAAATATACATTTTAAGTTGGATTGCATAAACACTGAAAATCTTTCCATTTTTATATGCTCTAATGAGGAAAACAGGAATTCAAATTACCTGGAGATGAATTGTACTTAAAATAAAAGCTGGGAGATATGAAAGCTGAAAGAGGGCAAACCTCTCATCCAGATACAAGTTTAATTTGGACAAAAATAAAATTTCATTTTCTGAATACATCATGTCATGCTATGAGAGTCTTATTGCTAAAAATATTATCATTTGAGACTATTCTTGCGTTATAAAATCAAGAATTGATTAATTTTAAATGGATTCGATCGTATATTCAATTCACCTTGGACATCTCTGGTTGGGCATTTATTCGCTTAAATTAGTATAGGAAAATCTTATTAATTTTGATAATCTATTTTCAGGTTTGAAGATCGTACCGTTTACGAGGACATGTATGTGAACCATCATAGAACATTTATGCATATTCGACAACAGCCATCTGGATATGGTCTGCGATGTCATCGGGCTATTATAACTATGTGCAAGTTGGTTGGTAAGTAGCGATTGTTGTAAACTGCTTGTCTGAGGAATGACTTTGGTCGGACGAAAGGTTACAGAAATACATTTGTGTTAGTGTGCAGCAGGACTCTTGAATTGGATAAAAATAATTAATATGCTCTTTTATTTGGGAAAATACATCGGTCCATGGTTGAGCTGGAATACTTGAGATACTGGTACTAGGGCTGTCCAAGCGAACCGAATATTCGAATTCGAAGCGTTTTTCGGCCAATTTACGAATCGCTAAAATACGTAATGTGCCTCATGACCACCTTTGCACGGCGTTTTTCACCGGGCAAGCAAAAAGGGGTCTCTGTTGCCCGGTGACATGTAATAATCCATTTTATACAGGGTCATAAATGAAAAGTTATCGATAACAAAGATTTGAAGATGACGTTTTTTGAGAGAACACAATGAGAAAAGGGCAAATTTAGTATTAGCAAAAACGCCAGTTCTATAAATAAATTCGATTTGTAGCTGTAATCAGGACTGAAACACTTTTAGAGGTCCAATAGCTTTTTTCAATAGAATTTGTAATTTCCTCTAATAGCAATACTTTGTATCATCCATTTATTACTATGACAAATAATTGCACTCTTGCATGTTGATGGCTGTTGTACAGCAACAATATGGTCATCAACTACCGTAATAATGTCATCAAACTAGCTCTGAATTTGTGAGTTCCCAAAATGCGATTTTAAATTTGTTGGTCAACAGTTATATCTATATTAATAGTTGTTTATCATTCTACTAAAAATTACACGGAAAATCTTGACTCAATAATACTAATGATAATAAGATTAAAATAGCAACTACGGGCTTTGCATGCCATATTGAAACTGAATCCATAAAAAGGGGCAATTCGAAAGTGTGCAATTTCCAACTATTAACAGTTGGTAGTTTTCGAAACCCTAATTTTTTGACCAGTTCAAGGAGGCTTGTGATCTCTTTTTATAACTATGGAAACATAGTTATGCAAAATATTAGCAATAATTTAGATGTAACTGCATATACGTTATCACAATATCGAAGTGGAAGTATTTATTGTACAATAGAGACAAATTTAGGATTACACAATAATATTCGATTATTCGGTTTGATTCGAGAAAAATTTTCGATTCGATCCAAAAAAATATTTGATTTTGGACAGCCCTAACTGGTACAAATTTGATGAAGAATCTTTGTTTAACTAATAGTCTAATACCTTGTATTGAATTTAATCAAATTAGAATTTTGTTTTACTTAAAAAACTATAATGGTTGACAAGTTTTATATAAAGTCTTGCAAGCAAAACGAAGCACTTCTTCACTAGGCAATCATGTTTAGTATAAAAATTATTATAAAACTCGTATCTATTTTAGGTATTGAAGATTTATATGTGAAGACAAATGGTGCCACCACTATGCTTAACCTTGTCAAATGCTTCATGAAAGCCTTACTTGCTCAAGAAACCCATCAACAAAAAGCTGACAGACTAGGGTACCATATTGTTGAGTATGATCCTCTACGAGACAATTACCCATTAGTTCTCGCCTCACCAAAAAATAGGGTTACCAAAGAAGAACCGTACGATGAATACAAAGAATATTTAAATCGACCTTTAATAACCAGGGATGTGCGACGAAGTGAAGGATTTCATAATCATCACTGGATGGGGATACGTTATGGTACTAGTCAAGGGCCTCCCATCCCTAATGCAACTGTAATACCAGACAAATTAAAAAGAATAAAAGAAGCAGAATTGTGATTAACCATCCCGAGGGTTTGTGTACCATCCTTGTGTAAAATGATATGCCATATTATGGAGGAGAATGATGATGTTCTACAAAATGGGGACAGAGACATGTAAAACATTTTAAGTGCTGGAGTTGTTTTGGATATCACAAAATTTCAGTGATATTTTTGTTCATAATTGTGAAATTCAATGCTTCATCTTCTCAAGTAGGATTTGGCATTGTTTAACAGGTTGATTTGCAAAGCATAAACGTTTTAAGGTTGTTGTTAGCATGATAACACCATTCTGAATAGTACCAAGGCTTGGAACCCGAATACACTAGAATTAGACCCAGGATTTGTCCAAGACCAAATACTAACTATGCTGAATATATATATTTTTTCTGGTATGGAATATCAGGCACATTTTAAATAGTGCCAAGTTCAACAGTTAAATTTATGTAAATTTATAGAAGATTAGTTTTTTGCAACAATGCAAACTAGTGAGATTTTGATTGATAGATTTTGAATTTTTTAAAGTTTCGGAAATGAAATTGGGGGCTCCCGAAGTATGCGAACCAAGATGGCGGACATCGGAATGTAATATGTGTACTAGGTTAGGGTTAGGCCATAATTTTAGGTATAGATACTACGGGAGGCTCTTGGCTAGTCTTCGAACTGATAATAGGACTAAAATAAGGAAAATTGGTAAAAAATTATCGCCTAACCCTAACCTGTTACCCATGTTACGTTCCGATGTCCGCCATCTTGGTTCGCGTACTTAGGGAGCACCTGAAATTGAGTCTATTTTTGTCTTGAGTATTAGATATTCAATGCTTGAAATATTGACTTTTCTTTATTATCTGTAAAATGAATTTTTGAATGTATCTCATTCGTTTTGGACATTCCTGGTTGAAGCTATAAATATGTTCCATCGATCTACTTGTCAAAGTGTCGTCTGTGACTTTTAAGTCAAACACTAGCCGGTTCGATTTATACGCCTCCGGCATAAATGTGGAAAAGTGAGGTAGTTGTGTACATAGGGCATACATGTTACTCCTATTAAAAATTGCGGTTCTTTATGCTTGTTAGTTTGCGCCAGGGCTATGGAGTCGGTGATATTTTTATATGTGGAATGTTACCGGAGATAAATAAATGTAGGGACACAGACACTATTGCATCTGACACTTAATAAAACAACGACGTCAATCATATATGTCATGAAATATGGAGTGTACGGGGAATGGTCTGCAAGATATTGGATGGGCATCGCCTCCCATAGTCAGACGCTTTTAATTATCCTCAAAAATGTCTTTCTAGAGTTATAAAATCGAGGCACATATATTTCTAAAAAGAAATTGGTAATTGCGACAATAAAAATAAATGAGCAACCCTAATTTTCACAGAGTCGTGATATTGTTGCTCGTTTCTTATTTCCCGTTTGGAAATTGGCAGTACCTACTTACTAGGAGAATTCGGACTTTTTTCCACCGTATTTTTGCAGCGTCTACTGTTGTGCGAGACTGTACTTTCATATACATTAGTGTTCATATATATACATATATGTGTTCTTCTGTGAATATCAAAAATGCAGTGATTTGCACTTCTATTTGAAAATTTTTAAATGAGTAACTTTTCGTTATTGAAACGCATATGATAACGCAAACTGAAGTCTGAGAGGTTTTCATTAGAGAATGTGTTGATGGCGACAAAGTCATCTCAGGAACATTAATCGTAAGTAACAATGTACTTTTTTGTGTTTATCTTCATGAATTTATTGTGGGGCTCCGTAAATAATAGTCAACCACTACCCGGGCTCCATAACACCAAAAGTTCAAGAACGTGTTTGTTCTCTTTTGTATTGAATGCGCTGTCAACAAGTTCACGACATTCCAAGACCGGGTTCGCTCGAACTCCCTGAATTCCACCGCTGTATTGCGTGTATTTCTACAGCTCGTGTGGCATTGCACCGGCACGTATTATTACAAACCTTCCAAGCTTTACGTTCGATTTGATAGTATCATAGTCAAGTTTATTTTTTCCAACCAGTAATATAATAAACAGATACAAACGCAAAAAATATGCGAAAAAGTAAAGAACATAATTTTACTGGGGAAGGGGAGCCGCGGGGAACTTAAAGTTTGTTATCTAGCAGCGGAACCCAAGATTCTGCTATCTAATTAAGATTCAATTTTAGAAGATTAATATATTATCATGAATTACTAACGAGAAATCGTCATGACTCGTGTGTTTTTACACAAATATCGCAAGCTAAACTTCATCGTAGTTGTTACTCTTGTTCTATGTCACAAAATGAGATTGCTCAAGTACAGTATTACTTTCATGTCTCATGCTATGAGTGGCCAGTGGTTCTCAACATTTTTCAACGTCAGAGCCAGGTTTCAAACATTAAAGTTGTAGGGATCCGCAAAAATACAACGCAATTTAAAATAGCAACAAAGCAAAACTCAAGTATGTATTTTAAAATAAAAACATCACCAAGACTTGGGGAAAAACGTAGTATATATTTACGGGAAAACATTTATTTTGATTTGAAAATATTTCTCTTTTCAGTGTGCGGGATAGCCTGCTTGTGATTCAGTGGCAGCGCGTGATCATTTTGACAACCGGGGCAAGCTACTGCGGGACCAAGTCACCCCTATCTACGGGGACAGGATGAGCGCTGTAAGTTCTCCCATCATTTTTTGAGTATATAAAACCATTCCATCGGTAACAACCAATCGGCAAAAGCGACAATTTTTAACGATAAGAAAGTGTCTTTAATTAAAACCGGTCCAAGTCAAGGGATTAATAAATATAGACATAGTTTATTTTGAAACCTCTTTCAAAGGGAAAGGCAATATTTACCCAGATGAATACAATGACATATTAACAGAAACTTCGGGAAAGCAGACAAAACCTAAAATAAGGTTTAAAACGTTACTATGAAGAAAGGAAAGTTAATGCAAAGATAAGGACATGCGTCGCTCACTCATAGATATACATGCTGCTAGACTTCTACTGCTTGAACATATATGCAACACGCCGCGGTTTCTTGGAAGCAAAATGCTCAATAACGCGCTGATTAAAGTCATGCATCCCAGAAATAACGTCTCTGTGAATGGATAAAACAGCCAAGGAATTTAATCTATCTTGCTTCATTGTGTTTCTGAGATACGTTTTAATACGCTTCAGCGTGCTGAATGTTCGCTCTGCGTCGGCGGAAGAAATAGGCGTCGTCAAAATGATGTTCAGAAATTTTGCAGACGCCGCAAAGGTAGTTACTAGGGTGTTATCTATGAGGAACCCATAGAGCGCGCAAGTTGATGTTATGTTCAAAAAAGTTTGATTGGTGTATATACATCGCAATTCGTTTTCCAATTTGCCCACGTTTATCATGGGGTAAAAATTTGGAGACAGTAGCCAATAATGGATGGGAAATTGACGTGCAAATTTCGAAAAAATTTTTGGGGTTTATCAAAGAGAACGCGGCAAGGTGTTCAGTGCGCAGACGATCGCCTATTTGATTCACCAGAATGTCACAGCATTCCTTTGCAGACAAAATCAAACGCTGCGTTGTTTGCCCGCGGCGTAAAGAAGCACTCCATGTGTCGTCGTATTTTATTGTTTCCCGGCTACGAGATACAGCATCGCAGAAGTCTGAAATACACGACTGCACAGACGCTCCATCCATTAGCCTTGACTGCAATGCGCCGTATAATACATCCACGTGATAGAATATTGTGGAGAAAAAAGCGAGAAAAAATGAAAACTCACCATCTTCTAGCAGACGCTTTAGACCTGCCGCCTCCCTCACAGAGCGTTCGTCCCAAACCGGAGAGCTCTGAATGAGATTGAAACACTCAATGAGCTCAGACCTAATTTCGGACACGCCCTGCGTCACGCGTGATTGGAAGTTCCAACGTGTTGGTGCACAAGCTGGGAGACGGCGGCTACATATCTGGCGAAGGAGGTCAGAGCGCTTCGGCGAAACGGAAAAAAATGAAGAAACCCCGGAACATTTGCAAAAAATATACGGACGAGAGAGGTATCAACACACATATTTTTAATAACGAGGTTAAATTGGTGTGCATAACAATGTAAAAAATGCGCATGAGGAAAATCTTCTTTTATATAAACTTGAACACCATGTTTCGACCCACTCATGACTGCCGCGCCGTCATAAGTTTGAGCTATCAATTTTGACTTCGCGTTGTAAGGCTGTAACACTTCTTTCAGTACAGCCGATATCCCGTAAGCCGTGCGATCAACGATTGGTACAAAGCTGTGAAATCTCTCGGTAGGTTTACCATCTTTCACAAACCGAAAAATCACAGCCAGTTGGGAAACGCACGTGATGTCAGTTGTCTCGTCAGACTGAATCGAAAGGAACTGGCAATTCTCAATTTCCAGAGCCAAATGTTGTAAATAAATTTTATACATGGAGTCGAGCAAATCATTTTGGATATCCTTAGATGTCCCTTTCGAAACAGTTGCGGCATCAAGATGATCTCTCAATACTGTATCTAGGGATGCTGTGTATTCCACCATATCCAAAAATACCCCTCTATTATAAGAGCCAGCCCGTTCATCGTGCCCACGGAGGGACAGCTCGTGACAACCAATGAACTTCAAAACATCTATCAATCGACCGAGAACATGGCGGTTTTTCTCGACGTTTTGGTTGTGCCGACGAATAGAAACCGCGCGTCCTTCATCCAACTGTGCTGCAATATTAACATTTCCGAATGTTCGGTATTTTACTGCCTTGTCCAGATGCTCCATAGAAGATTGATGATCCCTGGCACGCTCGGAAAGATGTTTAAGATCTCTAAAACCAAATTTACACCAACGTGAGTCATGGGCGGTAGCAAAAAGTAGGCAATAAAAACAAAAAAGTGCAGTTTTGTCCTCGCTGTAACACAACCATTCGTGTTTTTTATACCAAGTTTCTGCGCAGAATGTACGCCGACGCTTTCCTCCGTCATGGGATTGTTCCAGTGAACAATTTTTTGGTTGATAAGGCCCAAGACGTTGTACCTCTAATTTTTGTTCCAGCGGCAGCTGCGAAAACGGAATGCGAAGTGTTGCATCAACCTTATTCATTATGAGGTCTAAGGCTTAGAAATGCGAAGCCGGAAAGAAGTGAGGAGCTCAAAAGGAATGTGGAAAATCGAAAGCAAATGGACTAAAGGTCTCCAACTGATTCAAATAGCGAAACAAGCGACAAAAACGAAAGCGAGGAAACTATCAACTCTTCAAGCAACCAACGAACGAGAAGGAATGCGTGAATATGTCAACACGTTGTTGTAAGAAACGTCGGCATTGTGTCGTCATAATTTCGGGGCTAGCCCGATCGGCCCCGATGATTTAGTAAAAGAAACAGAAAACAAACGAGACAAACGCGGCGAGTGGAAGATAAAAGAGAGAATACGATATACAATGAGCAACCGGGGCAAAATCGGCGTCGCCCCGTCGACGTTCGGCGAAGGCTTTGCGAGCGAAAAATGAACCATGTCGGGAGAATATGGCTAGTGTAGACAGTCTGTGCAACCGATATTGAGGTATTTTTCGAATATTTTTTATTATACCGAAAAAACAACCGGGGCATTGCCCCGGTTGGCCCTATTGACGCGCCGCCACTGTTGTGATTTCTGGAAACAATGAAATCAGTGTACTGACTGACTACTGGAACGTAAGCCAAACATTGTCGAAGAACCCTATGACATCATAAAAAAAGTTGCACTCAAAACGACAGTATCAATTCAACCGTAAATATATAAGCTACTACTACACTGCACTTCATTCAGTCTTTCAATTTCAAGTCATTGTTCAATTTTCAATGGAAAATATGGATTTTTAAAGGATAATGAGAGCCGCAGGTAGGATAGTTGAGAGCCGCATGTGGCTCCAAGATCCGCGATCCACTGCAACAAGATCAATTTTGTCATGATACGTGATGGTCTATTACTGTAATTACTCTATTACTATGCCAAGGGGTTTCATAAAACTGTATGACGATTAAACGACGTTGCTCTGGCTAATAAAACAGCCTCTGGACTTCGCAAGGTTATATTACGAGGTCAAATTTTTCAATCCATTTCAACTGACAAAGTATTTCTCAAGTCCCGAAGGCAGGAAAACGAAATGCACACGGCAACACAAATGTAGTTTAAAAAGTGCAAAAGAGAGTGGCTAGATGCTGTCGATGGATCTTGGCTTATATTAGTGAAATAAACTACCATTTATTGTACTAAAATTGAATTTCTGACATTGTGAGTAGATTTAATGTTACTATGTATTCAAAACTAACTCGTGTAGTTATGAAATAATTGTTTTTAACGAAAAGGTGCTCCCGAAGTATTCGTACCAATATGGCGCACAACCTGATCATTGTATATGTCTCAGGTCAGGGTGCAGGATGTGCGTCATCTTGGTACGAATACTTCCGGAGCGCCTTAAAATCCACTTAGAAAAAATTGCTTAACATTATATACTCCACACCCACCTGGGTATCATTATTTATGTCATCGGCATTATAATATCTAAACAATAAAAAAAAAGCTTCATGCCTCAAAAAAAACCGGCCACAATTCTGCCGGACTATTTCGTGTCCGATGTACGGTTAGCTCGGATAACTTTAGTTTTTATTATCCGGATAACGGATATATCCGGGTATTCCAAATTTTAATTATCCGGTTAACCGGATAGTTACTGCTAATTTTAGAGAACCCATTTCACAAGATTTTTGCGGTGAATTGACCGAAAACCACCACACATTTCTATAGTATTTTGTGTTCTGTATTATTTTGTGATTTCTTGCACGATGAAATATTGACGAACTTTGTACATATATACTGTAATAGCATACATATAGTACAGCGTTTCCCAACCCTTTTTTGGTTCCGGACTATTTTCTCAACGGCGAAAACCTTTGCGGACTCAATTTCCGTTTATTGCAACCGTACTCTGTGTGAAAAAGCAATAAAACCAAATACAGAAGAATTTTAACGAATTTCAAAATCGGAAATTTGCCGCAATTATGCGTTCGTGAAAAGGCCTTTTCTGTAGCACAATATTCAATCCATGACAACAATGACAATTTAAAATGTCGTTCTATCTTAATTTAATTGTGTTCATAGTAACTCGCGGTTGCGTTGACTTACGACAAGATGAAAGCATTACTTCTTTAAAATGCCACGGCAATCTGCGAACATACAAATGTGAGAATATAATTTGTTATCGCCATTAGAAAATTCCTACTATCTGCTATAACTTTCCAGAAAGTACAACTTGATTTAGTACTTATTAAAAATATATTTAATAATAATAAAGCAAGGCGATGGACATGTAATTTTGATTTACTAATATACTACAGTAAGTCCCCCGACTTACGACGTTGTTCCGTTCTTGAGACGCGGTGTAACCCGAATTTCAGTGTAAATAGGAACATTATACACAAATTACTCTATAGATATCGTACTGTATTGTAAAGTATGGTACTGTAATAAAATGTACAAATAATGCAAAAAAGTACTTTATTAAAAAAACGGGAAAAAATTCCATACCGATATTCGTATATAGTTCGCAATTGTTCACGTAATTTACAATGTAAATGACGAAAACCAACCCAAAGCACTGATTTTCTTGATTACAATGATCTTGCTTCAATATTACAGTATTATATTTTAATGGAGTGCGTTCGTAACCTCGAAACAGCGTAATTCGGGGCCGTCGTAACCCGAGGACTTACTTTATTCAATTGTGATCATTTTAATCTGCGGTTGTGTTGACGTAATAAAAACAATACCACTCACAAAATATCATGACAATCCGTGGACACAAAAATGCGTGGTAAAGTGTCTGATTACATTTTGTTTTGATTCGTATTTTTGTGAATTCGACAAATCTGATCCGTTCGTACAACACTTACGGCGCTCCAGTACCGTACGTACTAATGCGGAGGCAGTAAAGCAAAGAATCCTAATGGGAAAAGCCCTGGTACGTATACCACGGTAGCACCCGAAGTTTTGCGATTTGCAATGTCTAAAAAAAAGCGTTTTTAATCGGTCGCGAACCATCATAAAACTTATTTTATACTTCGTTTTATTTTGAGTATTTTGTATTGCCGCTTTTCAATTTAAAAAATTTGGATTACCATCATTGACACTTAGTCACTTACCATAAAAAAAATTATTCCTCGTTGCTCGTACTCGTAAGAAACACCCCTTAGGTATGTATCGACGCGTGTGCCGACTCGTGTTTTCGTCGGAAATCCGCAAGTGAGTTGTGAAATCCAATTGTTTAATAAAGCGACGCGCAGGTGAACCGTCGCGTCACCTGTTACCAAATCTTCGAAAAGTAAATTTCTATTCTAAAAGTTGAATATTCGAATATATGCTCAGCCCTACTCAGTAACCAGTAATTATTGACTGGATTAGTGTTATGTCAATGAACTTGCTTTTTATGTTTTATGTAAATTCTAACGTAAATCGTAACTTGGCTGATAGTTAAGTATCGCAAAAACGTTTGCGGCGCGCAGTGAATTTCTGGCTCGTTGCGGATTCATTCAAACGCTCCGCGGACTCAAAAAAAATATAATACAGGGAGGACAAAGTCCGTGAAATTTTAATAACAAAAGAAAGATGATATTGAAAAAAACGAAATAGTCAGGAATTCCTTCTAATTCGAAAAATTCACCTTTTTAACGTGTCACTCTAAATATTCTCACATTTGTACTAATTAGGCCACAACTTAAAGTTTAATTCGAATACTTTTTAAACTAAATTAACTGAGCCAAACCAATGCTGCACCAGTTTTTGAACAACTTTACTCATCACCCTAGGTGAGTAAATGAAAAACATGACACGATACAAAGTCTGTCAAATTAAACTTTGCTGAAATAATATAGACCATCCTGCAAACAAATTATTTTGGGAAAGTTACATGAAAACCACAAATGTTGAACAGTTCTTTTTTTTTTAATTTTCGAGAAAGTCACTAATAAAGGCGGCCGAAGCGTAAAATATCGTTACAGGCTAGTTTTGTTAGCATCGCCGATTGTTTTCTTCCGTGTCGCATGGTTATTTGGGAAATTAACATCGGCAATATTCAAATTTTCTATTTGATAAGAAGTTACATTCCGTGAAAGGTTACTCTTGTTGCATATTCAGTAAATACGATTAGTACGAAATGCTGGCGATTCAACATCGCCTAGAATAGCGTTTTGTTTTATCCATCACTGGCTCATAAATCAAGAGTCGTGGTATTTTCGTTAGCATTTATATACTGTCTTATTTGCAGTCAAATATGTGTGTTTTAAATTTTCTCAATTAACCGCGACATGCGACAGACTGTTGCTGTTGGAGTCATCAAGGAAACTACCAAAAAGGCCGGGAATGTGAAAGAAAACAAGGCAGCAGCTAAGGCCAATAAAAAAACAGGAGCATAGAAGTGACTGGAAGCATCTGGCGCCCATCAACAGCTTGAACCGAGTGTCATGATCGCAGCCACATCCTCAAAAAGCGTCGCAAAGTATTTAATATATAAGTATATTTTAAATACTTAGTTTGAACTACGCGACGTAACAAGAAAAAAATCGAGCGGCATGTAACAGTAAAGTTCACTACAGCATTCCATGGATGGCTAAAATACAGGCAGGGTAGTGTGGATAAAAGTTGTTATTATATGCCCTGGGAGATATCAGTCGCCACTCAACAAAAAATATAGAAATCACTAATGCGCATATGAATTATTTATACTCCTCTATTATCTGGTTAATCGTCACAATAATATCCGGATATCAAACAGCAAAGTAATTCTCGGTTATCCGGATAACCGTTATCCGGATAATCCAACCCTAGTCAGATGCATAGGACTTGGTGGTAGAGTATGCCATAACCGACCAGCGATTACGTGAAGCACCTTACGGCGACGAGGAGTCCGGCAAGCATATCGCACATAATTATCTCCCACGGGATTCGAGCCTACGCAGGTTAATCAGAGGTGCCGTAGCGAGCATATTTTTAACACTTAGCACAATCAATGCGCCACACCGCCTACCTACGTTCCGCTCTCATATTTCAGCCGTTCTTACCGTTATTATGATTATATATTGTTGTGGTTCATGTCAGAAGCACCTGAATAAAATAAGAATAATTGATTGATCCTGATTTCAGGTTGGAACCAACTGCACCAGAAAATTTCTGTCGCCATGGGAATATCCGACGAACCGTGAAGACGCGGAGCACAAGCCTTCAGTACTGGAGAATTGAATTTCGAAACATCGTCAACATAGAGCATACCGGTACCGTACATGACCAGCGATTGGCGAACGCTGAGGAATAGTACATTTGAATTTAGGGCAAGAAATATATGGTACCGCGGATAGCGTTAATCCCGCATCTCGTTTTAGTACGGTTATTATCATACTATGTCAAATGCAACAAAGGAATTCTCAGTAGACGTTCTTTTAAAAGAAACAAATGAAGTTTTCACGGTTAAAAATGTCACCGTTCAGATGACCGTTGAAACACTGAAAGTCAATTTGGAAATTATTGCAGGAATACCAAAACCTTTACAAAGGTTGATGTACTTGGACGAAGGTAAGTGCAGTTAACAAGGTGTAGTTACTTTGACCACAGAACCAGGGCAATTTAAAATCCAAGACTCCTTGGGGTGCACACCTTTATTCTTAGTCCAATAGGTACTAAGAAAAGTTGATGGCACACCTTAATCTCGCAGTGTTCCTAACGCACTTTGGAAGTGGAATAAACCTATGCGTTCACTTGCAAACAGTCCAGCATTCTGTTGAATTCATCATTGTTAATATTTTGTTATTGTGGTGGTTATTATTGTATTAATAGAAAGATATGAATTTGATGTTGAAGAAAGAGTTTGTCAGATTGAAATGATTCGAAAAAACTATGATAATCAGTATTTAATTTCTGAATTCCCATCTACCTGTTTGCATCATTTTGTCAAAGCTTTTGCTCTCTTTAGCACTTTTTAAATATACTGTCCCAATAACAAAAAAAAGAGTACGGTATGTTTGATAGTTGGTGTTAGATAAACTCTCTTCTTGATCAAAATTTTGTTTTTTTGTTTAGGTGACATGGAGGATAATAGCACTCTTCAACATCACGACATTGTTTCAGGAGCCAAAATTACAATGAAAATATGGCGAACATGGATGCACTTGATTCAAGCTTGTGTCAAAGGTGAACTCAGAGAGGTATTCAATTTGTTGAACTGATAGCTTTTGTAACGGTGAAAATATGGCTCCAACTAGATATTATTGTATCATTTAAAATTTCAATGAATGTAATGAACTCATGAATGAAATTATTTTAGGTGATGAAATTAGGAGTAACACCAGACAGTGAATATCAAGATCCAAATTCTAATTTTATGGGTAAAGAACGAAGGATTGATTGGTTTTTTGAACGACAATCTGTGGCATTATATGTATCTGCTCATCGGGGTCGAGTTGATATTATGAAGAAATTAATTTCAAAAGGTGATTTCATTTTTTAACAAGGCAAGAAACGTTCCACATTCCACAGCTTGGGTTCGCAGGTTCAAGGATTTCTGGAATCTTCGCTAGCATATGTTGGTTCATGTAACCGCTGGTCAGGCAATGCATCTAAAACAAATTACTGGTCCCATCTCTACCACATACAGATAAGCCTAATCGGGGTTTCCTTTGCTCTGGGATAAATATGTAAATCCTATCCTATGATCATTTTCAGAGTTATCCTCGGCAGCTAAATTAGGTAAAACAAGTTTTAAGCAATTTACCAAGTAAAAAGAAGCACTTATTTCAGATATTATGAATCAACACTGCAAACTCAGAGATCCTAAAATAAAGATTTTAGAGCATTACAACAAAAATTTAGATATTGATTATTTAAGTTTTGTCTGTAGCAGGTAGTTCATCAACGTTCTTCGTAACATGATGAATATAATTATATTTGAAAAGAAAAAATGAGAAACATAAGAACCATTGGAATAGAAAAAAGTTTTTTCTTTCCCAATCCTTCACAAATAGAAGATTTTTTCTTATGGCAGTAAGCACATAGAATATATTACAATAAAATTTAACTACATAAATAATTCTCACTGTTATCCCAGCATTTCGTAATCTGAATTTGAGAAGCTTGTTTATACTTTTTGTAGCCTTGAAACTATTGGTGTTTTTGCTATTTTTTTTTAATGCCATTCATTGCCATACCTGTTTCAACGATTGAAAGACTCATGTTTTGATATATTCTTTACCATTAGGTGCTGATGTGTCCAAAGCAACAAAATGTGGTAGGACTGCATTGCATGTAGCAGCAGCTTCAGGACAAGATGCATGTGTTGATTTGTTATTATCATATGGTGCAGGTTAGTTTCTTGCATTGTGATTTTTATATAATTTTTGTATCTGCTGATAATTTATCATTTTTTATGTTCAATAAATAAATGATCAAAGGTGAACTGATCAAATCAGAAGACAATTTTGGAAAAACACCACTTCTTCTTGCATCGGAATGGGGACATAAATCCAGCGAGAGACGATTGTTTTTATTCCAGTGGCAAGTTCGTGCTTCCCAGATGAAAGCCGATGTCAGTAAAAGCGATAAGGATTTAATGGCACATCAAATGTTTGATTCATCTCTCAAAACACACCTGCAAGGATGTCAAAGCCAGTTGTATTTTTCAAATGTGCTACCACCACAGGTATGTATGATTTAAATTCCTTTAAATCATTTTTTTAACTACGAAATCATCACCTTCCAAAACCACTTATAGGCAAGATAATAGTAGATATTCCATCTCATCTCATGGTTCACTTACTTATGGTTTCAGCTTCCTCACCGATCCGAATCTAACAAACAATAAAATGGTTAAATGGCTCGGCAGTGAGGCGCATTATTCTAAGAGTTAGCAATATGCCCTGCAGAGGTTCGAATCCTGTGGGGATAAAAAAGGGCGAGTGGATTGCTGGACTCCTTGCCTCTGTAAGGTGCTTCACTTAACTGCTGGTCGGGTACGGCATCCACCACCATCAAATCTATGCATCTGAAACAAATAACAGGCCAACTAATCCCATACCTGACATGGACTGGTAACCTGACGAGAGGCTGTGTTTGTCAAATGATTAAGCCATCTTAGCAGCTTTTCTCTCCCTCGGGATAAATATGTAAATCCTATCCTATATTCTCATACCAGACTTGGACTGGCAACTGAATAAAAAGCAGTAGTCTGCTTTGTTATGTGATATAGTGTCTAATCATTGCCCTAGAAATTGATATGAAATTTTGATTCTCTAATCTCATGGTACTTTATTGTTATTATGCTTATTTAATCATTACTTAGCTTGTTTTTTAATTTACTATTTTCTCTATCAGGAATTTGAAGGAACTGCGCTAGAGTCCAAGCACAGCAAACATTATCATAAAATACTACAGAGCGAATTAAAGAGAGAGAAGAATTCGAAAAAGAATGGTGCAATAAAGAGTAAAGCAAAACGGAAAGTTAGACTCTCATGATGCTTCGCTATAGATTTTTTTACATATAAATAACTACCAGTACTGTTTCATTTACTTGCTTATCCCGTGCCTATAGTTATCACTGTCAAAAATATTTTCTACTTTCTTAATTACTTGATTACCAAGAAAAGCTTACAACTGTTCATGCATGAGATCGTGCTGCTGTGTGGGATCAATAGAACGGGCCGAGTCGGATGCTCTGACCAGCGATTGCTTCAATATTTGGTTTAGAGTAGATATCGTACATGTAGCCCACAACTTCTGCTGTATAGAAAATCATATTCGTAACTGTAATAGAAATGTCAGGAAGACTACACGAGTGTGAAACTATTAATTCTAAAGGATCCAGAAATGCGAGCGAAAACGCATGACGTAGCAGTGGGTGTGTCAAAAATTTGTACCACTCATATGCGGGACGTGTCCCATGGGCTACGTGGGACATAACATTTTCGAGACACCGCGTAGTAGTGACGTTTCATGGTCAGCCATAGAAAGAGCCATATAGTCGGTGGCGTATCCACGTAAAATTGCGCTCATGTCAAAGTTTTAAAATGCGCCCCTTCGGTCGTTACCTGACAATATTTAACGGCTGGAAATTGGATACTTATACGAGAATTGAAAGGTTTCGTAAAATTATCAAGCTCTTATCAGCACAAAATGTACAAATGAAGATGTCATATCGAGCTAAATGGATTACGCAAACAGAGGACGAATAAAGAATAAGATATTTTCTGAAGAAAACAAACCACACTATAATCGATAGACATTTGCCACGTATATATGAAATAACCAACAGGCAAACAAATTATAACCTTACCGACTGTTTTTTTCCCAAGGTCAACAAAAAAAAATCGAATATCTTAAATGAAAACTGCAGAACACTGAAATAAACATGGACAATAAGCACTACACTACAGTATCAATACCGAACCCCACAATAATGTGGCAATAAATTAAACTCAAACGGTGATTCGTCCAAATGGGACTCATGCATAGCGGCTCAGATTCAATGAAATATAGTAAACTCGCCGATAATTTTTTACAAAACATTCAACATCAGTTAGTTGTATTCAAATGTATGGATTTGATGGTGGAGGAAGCCGTAACAGACCAGTGTCGAAAAGGTGTCCAACAATTATCCCCGCATGAGGTTCTAAGAACCTGCGAACCGACGCAGAACCTAACGCGTAGTACGGTGCGCCACACCGCCTATCCAGTTTCAGTCCTAACGCGGGAAATTAAGATATAACAAATTAGCAATTTGCACCGGCCACAATCTTTTTCGTCAGCTTGGAATACGGTCTACAGTAGAGGTACTCAACTTCCCAAGTAAACGGGCCGCATTTTAACCACAAAAGATGCGACGGGCCACAGAATAATATTGTCATGTATTTATACTAGGTAATTACTTATCGATCTTAAGATCGGTAAGTATATTGATAGGTATTTGTATGTATGTCTGTCTGTGTGTGTGTGTGTCTGTTAGATGCACGCGATATCTCACGAAAGCGGGATTGAATCTGCTCCAGATTTTGCATGTGCATTCATCTTATCTCGGACCAGAATCCTATTGATTTTGGGCGAATTATGTCGTATAATTAGCGAGTTATCAATCAATTATTGATATAGTGATCTAGATTTTTGTAAAGCGAGAGAATTTTGAAACCCTCCGAGTGTGTGTGTGCGATGCGCAGTGCGCAAGTTACAAGAGCGGATGAATCGAAACTGCAGTTTCTGTTTTGGGGGATCCCCTAACTATCGATCGATAAGTCTTCGGTTTCCAACCGATATTTTCGTTAATGTATTAGTCCGATACTGATGTTTAATATGCTTCTTGTATTCATTTTTATGCATTCTGAAACGTGGGTAATGGATAGCATTCGTAAGTTTGCAGTTGCGTCGAGAACTATGGCAGAATTTTGCAACGTGGAGAAAATATAATTATACTCAACAACAAGTCAACAACAATGTTTCACAATACTTTTATTCTATTGTAAAGCGCATTTCCGAAGGGTAGATGGAAGGTGCGATGATCGAGCTAAGTAACTCAATTTTTACTAACAATACGTAATTCAACTGTTTTCTGTGATGACACAATCCATAGTCTTATCGTGCGCTGTAATGGATGAGAAGACGGATACCGTATTGAAAAATCGTTTATATTCGTTACGCCGCAGATATCGTGATATATGTGTGGGTTCATCAAAGATCTTTGCGGGCCGCAAAATATGCACAGGCGGGCCGCGGGTTGAAAACCTCTGGTCTACAGAAACAACATATTTAGATACGGACTAAATACCTACCTTTTGTTGTGTCATTATGGACATATCTGATTTACAATCGCACCATTTAACAAACATAGACAGTCCACGACACATGGAAACAGTCAGTGACGTCAATATTTTAGGAATTTTTTTGTTTAATTCACGTTTAACTTTATCACAAGCTTTAGTAGCATGCAAAAATGCTATAAAATTGGTGATGATTTTTGCAATAATGAGTAGGCAGCTGTGTTAGTGTGAAAATGAACATATATATATGTTCGCGTCCGCGTCAACCAGATATTGGAATGCGTCTCCATGCACGAATTTCTGGTGCGAATATACAACTGGAAATATGCGAAAGGCTCCTAATCCCTCTGTAATAAATTCAATGAAGGCATTCAATAAGTTCAGATATCATAGTTTGGTGATCAAATATAAATGGGATCACACAAAATACGTATGGTTCTATATACATTACCGTTTATCCTCATAACAACATATATATATATATCAAAATAGTAGAAAGTAGGAAACGCAATCGTAGACAAGCATACCTACATACGGAACTTGTATTCCTCAAAATCATCCCCTGTATAAATAAAACGCAAAATATGTTATCGGATTGTTTTCCGTATAAACAGCAATTTTATTGCAACAACGACTGTTCATAGCACAGGGTATTCTGAAGAATTCTGCGTATATTATGCTATCTGCTCGATTCACAATAACTCGTATTCAGACCGGGACAACCCGACAGACCGACAACAATGAAATATCGCGAAAAGGTGAGCTGTACAGACGTCGGAAAACGAATATTTCGCCTATTTGAATCAGCGAAAAATACGAATACATGGTTAAATTATGGATTATGATACAACTAGAGAGGGCGCATTTTATTTTTACCACGAAAATGGCAGGACGCGAATTCAACCCTTATAACTGAACCTGTAGCGATCAAAAGAAAATTTTTCAAAAACATTTCATCATAAGAATACGCAATTCCAACACTCTTATATTATTCAATGGCTCCAACAATTAGGGAATGTTTAAAACAGACTGTATTGTATGCAGATCTCTGTGGTTGTAGATATTGTCGCATCCATTACTAACTAATACTATAGTTAATTCGTATACATTGCTTGGTAATTCATATCACAACATCAATTTTTCCCTTTCAACTTTTTTTGTTATATGAAAATAAAACATCTCTCAAAAATTAACCCAGTGTGAGATCTAAGACAACAAAAGTTGGGGAACACGGTTATGTTATGATGCTTATCCTTAAACGGATAGTTGTTAGTAATTACTCTGTTTACGGATGCAGGAAAATACGAAGAGTTTGCGAAGTTCCGTTTCACTTTTGCGTACATGCTCTGAATAAAAGCTAGATTTGATCAACTAGTACCGAAGCATTACAAAAATATTTGCAGAATAGCAACATATGAGGCAAATGGAACTGAACATTGGAGTCCATATGCTGTTCCTCTTTCTTATTGCGTCGCTGAATGCTGTGTTGGCTGTGGAAGGTTGGTATAATGTGATAAATGAATATTAGATAGTCGGCAAAATATGATAGTTTGTATGGGCGAGTCACATTGTGATGTTTATCAAATGCAGAATTATAAGTTGGCCCGATTTTTGCTGTATTCACATGCAAATGATCGATTCCAATGAAACTAAACTGTTTAAAATGTTTATCACGATTGTGATCAATTATCATTGATTTCGTCCTTCTCCTACTTACAGTTATGGTCACTGTTGATGAACATGGCGAAGAATTAATCCTCGATAATATAAAATATTTGAGTGTAAAAGCTGAACAAGTACATTTCTTATCGTGGGGTTTAAACCCCCATACTGGGGCTGAGTTACCAGGTAAGTATTCCATGCAATGAATTATGTTTTTTAAAAACCTAATTTCTGTGTGAATATTTTGGGATTCATATAGCATTCAAATAAACAAAATGAATCGACATGTAACAGAACTTGTTGCTGCCAAGAGGGCCTGCCAGGCCGATGTTTTCAGTTATTACTAGGAATTTTGACCAAGGTATTTTTCGTTCAAATTCCTCTCCGACTTCGGTAGGGCTCGGTGGTGTGGCGCATCGTGCTGAGCGTCAGGGATACTCTCGCCACCGCACCTATGATTTCGCAGGTTCGAAGCCCATGCAGGGCTAATTATGTGTGAGAGGATTAATGGACCCCCCCCCCCCCACGTGATATCTATGTATATCCTATCCTATGCCGTAACGCAAATGACGCCGTGTAGTGATATATCTATTGATATATTTGGAAAATCCAATATAGGTCTACATTTTTGATGCTTCAACCAAATTTAAAATATGTTGCCACATAAGTGGATGTTGCCACATGTGGATATGTTTCAAAAAAGCATGAGTTTGTGACGTTCCGAAAATATTAAGCACTCCACATCCTGTAAGATGTTCTATTTTTTTATTGTAACAATTGGCTACGTTTTGAGATCGTCACTGGTCATCAATGATTAGACCATAGTAACCAAAGTAAGAAAACTAAATATTTAACATGCGTACAATATTCTGGCATACACAATTATAAATTTTCTGCACGTAGCATTGCGACAAACATACAGACCCGCTCTATTATGGCATCAAGCAATGATTATTGGTAATGTGAGGTCACCATGAGCGACTATAGAAATATTCTGAGAAACGCAGAAAATTTTCTATTCGCAATGTGGAATGTTGCTTCTTTGATTTTTGTCAGTCGAAATCACTTTAAATGATTTCCATTTTATAGTTGCCTTAATTCAATGTAATTTTTGATCTGAATTAGGTTTGGTTAAATCGTAAATAATGAAAACTGATGAGGTGTCGGAATATTTGAAAATTTTGATGTATTTTTTTTTCTTCCATTAAATCGAATATTTTGTATTTTTATTTGTAAAGATGGAACTGTAGAAATCTACGAAGTCAGGTCAGCTTACAATGATTTTCGAAATGGCGTTCAAAATCTGCTCTGTGGCAACTTCATGTGTCTATATGGATCTGAATGTAAAATGGAACTTTTAGAACAAGTATATTCAGCAGACGCTCTGAATAGAGCATCGGAAACTAGATCACGGCTAAGCCAATTATACAATGAAAAAAGTCTGGATCAAATTTGGAGCATCGACTACGTTACGTCGCTGATAAAGGAATTCAGTGACCCATGGGGTCTGTTCAATTACCAGTTAGAAAATGAAAATTCTGAACCATCGGCGATTCTACCGATCACTACTAATTATTTTTCTGATTCTGAATGGTTGTTCGTACAAACTACATATGTTATATTCAACCAGATTATTCTATCTCAGAATCCAATTCAACTACTTGACAGGTTCGCTGGATTAATTGTGATGTGTGAGTGCTCACACTTGACGGCTGGTGTACACTGTGAACAATGCATCAGCAATAGCTAATCGTACTCCCGCTATTCCAAGAGCATGCATATCAGAGCAGATGTGACATGGCCATCTATTACTCTGAATCTATATAAAAATGAAACTTAACTTTTCATTAGTTACGTATACCTATAAAACTTATTCATTCCTTTTATTGAATTGTTATTGATACAGAACTTGGTGATACGAAGAGTCTACTTGTTTTTTTTACTGATTTACAAATTTATTAAATTTGAATGACTAATAGATATGATGTTTGAAGTCTTCTATTATTGAAAAAAATATAAAATGTCCAAAGAATTGTCTAGTTCAAGAGTTCTTGAACTTTTTCACAGGTCCCCCTAAAATAATTTTATTTTGTTTGTGCGACCCCTTCGTAGACTATTGCAAACTGATATAAACGATAAAAAATGGGGAAAAGAATCTTCAATATAAATATTTCTGTTATTTCGTTTCAGCAGTTACATTAAATTGTGACTTCGTTTTCGACGGGGCAGCATGTAAGTCATTTCTGACATTTGCTCGTAACCAAGGATGAAAATTCTGACCCAAATTTGCGTGTAGTGGCAATTTCCCATTGTACGCTAGAACAGATCTGATCGGGATCTGCGTTGAACAATTTTTACATCATTTCATAACTAAAATTTTTCTGTTTAATATCAAACAAGTCCAACATCGCGATAATTACCTACATTGTGACGTGTGCGCTCTGGTATATTGAACAACACAACGGATAAACGAGCGGTAATTTAATCGTTATGCCAGATCTCAAACAGAATGGCTAAAATAATGACAACACGGGACAAGCAATCAGTTATCCTTCAAATTTTTTTTTAATTTATGCGCACCTTGTGGTGGGTATTGAGACAAATCCATTCTAATCCTAAAATTCCCAATGACACTTCCCTGGTCATATTTTCAGAACCCTTGTTTTAATTTATATCGTCAAATTTATATTATATCAGCAAGTCATCCGGTAAAATTTAGCAATATTTTCATTTTAACTACAATTGGTTTGTCACCATTATTTCACATTTCAAACCTTCTTCATAATAAGAAGACAAGTAAACGCCAGAAGTTCAGATACGACTTCAGATACTCTGTGGATACCTTCTTAGATGTGTAGCGTTAGATGGCTTGAATATTTTTCACAGGTTTAAGAACTTACACAAATTCCATCTAACACTTTAACATCTCCTGGAGTCTAGACCGACAAGGCTTTAGTGAGCGCTGTAGTAAAAGCGAACAAAGAACTTTTGCACACGACAAAATCTCACAGAAGGACGGCAGTCTTCACTCCGTTCCGTAGGGCCAAAATATTCCACTGTCAATTCCTCAGCCCACACGCAAAGAAAATAAAAACAAGATCTGTCAGGAAGCGTACGCCGGTAGTCGTGTACGTTTTTACAGCGGTCGACGTAAAATGTAAGCCGATGGGAAAAACATCGCTCACTGTCATAATAGTCAGCAACTACTATAATAGGACAGAGCCGGGTTTGAACTCAGCTACAGCCGTCACGGAGCGACGAGACCAGTGGTAAAGCATACCGCATACCGGCTTCTTTGAACATACCGACGACCAGAGCTCTGTAAGGCGAGAAAAGCCTATAGGTCCAGACGACGAAGCGTACGTATCCGATGATTCTTCCAAAACTTATTCCCAACATTTGGCATTATCTTTTTATTTATTTATTTATGATATTACAGTTTGAAAGTCAATTAAAATAATAAGTAGACAGTGAGAATTAGGAAATAGCTTTTTATTGTATCGTCCTGGGACCTGGGAGGTCAAGGAAACTTTATTGGATGTCAAACATCCATTTAGTAGAGTTTGATGTGAAGCACGTTTGCCCAAAATAAGATCGGATCAAATTTTCCTGATTATCGAAACTTTTCTTTCCGATTGCCGAATAAGTGTTGTTCCTGATAGGCAATGAATGACGATGTACGACCTTCTATGCTGGAGGTTTTTGCTGCTTTCAACAACCTTTAGGAAAGAATATCATTTTTGATCAATATGCAACTAAGATGATGCAGTCTCAAGTCTCTATGGAGACTATGGCACATCTTATACGCGGCTGGATCAGGATAGTTTTACTCCTATTACAAATTCCAGAAATCATTGAAATTCATAAACTTCCTTTGAATTCAGAAGAATTTTTTATTTGTATCTCATGTATCATTTTAGTTTTTCCTCTTAAATCTACGCTGTTAGATTGTATCGACTTGATAAATCTATATTTATTGTTTGTTCGAGTAAAGCAGTGAAATTGTGATGATTAGGGAAATAGAAAATAAAAACTCGAGACGCATTCAACTTACACGTTTTGTATTTGTATTATAGATACAATAATCTCTAGCGATTTAATTTGATTCATTGTAGACTGTAGGCTCCATTCTCCTGCTTGTGCTTGATCTGAGCACGGAAGCAAATGTAACAAAAAGAATTTACAGAATAGAGTTTGAAGTGTGCACTTACGTTTACTCATGATCAAATTTGGTTTTGCACCTCAACTGTCAAAACATTGCAAATTCATTTACGCATGTTAATTTTTGGTTTTTGATTATGTCATTCTACACCACCTTGTTTGCTGGTAAAATGACGTCATTCTTACTGTTCAGGAAACAAAAAGTCAACGTTCATTTATCAATCAATATACTCGGTCAAACAGCAAGTCGAGGAATTATTAAATTATTTACTGAGGCTTAGAATCGTATTTAATATCGTAGGTTTTTGTCAATTGTTAATCGACTTCCTTGTCGTGGAAAATACTTTTATAGCTTTCGACAATGCAATACATCGCAGTGTCCAAATACAAAGTATGGAGCGTCTGTTGACAGACTACTCTAGAAAGAAGCAAGCAACTCTTTGTTGTTACTCGACATTTCTTCATAGACAGGTATATAGACACACCGGTTTTGATGTTTATTTATATTGATTAGCAATTTTATACTGCACCCTCCTAATTGAACATCTTCGAATTGCAGAACAATAATTTTATGTATGTAGTGTGATCAGATGGAAAAAGATTAGTATATGGCCCCAAAACTTTATATTTATAGATTGATTCCAACGTTCAAAAATGAATTTCTCTGATTTCTTGGGTGTTTTCGAGTTGTAGAATTTGGGAAAGTTCACTCAAGTTCGCCAAAACAGACGTAGAAGGGAGTTAACTTAATAATTAATTCATAGTATAACCAGCATAAATAGTTTCACCGTGGCATTATGCGTTGTAGAAATTAATCATTCATGGCTGTATAAGCCCATTGTAAAATTTAATGTATAAATCTACGGTACGTCTTAAAAATCAATATTTAATTGATAAAGAATTAAATTTTCATATAACACAATTATGAAACAAACGAGTTTTTCAAATTTAGTATTGGCTATGCTTGTAACAAAAAGCTGGTAGTTTAATAGTGAATGATGTGAAATAAAAAATTTATCTTCATTATGGTGGCTCTTCAAATTTCAATATAATATGAATCCACACAAAAATGCTTTTCTTTTCAACATATTTACTATATTGGGTGTTTTCAAACGTTTTTTTGCATATAACATATAAATATCATAGTGTAGTAAATAAGGTAGTTTGTTTGATGGAAAAGAACAAACTGCGAAGAGGAATTTTAAAGCAAATCTTGGTAAATATTAAACAAATAATATATAACTGATCCAAAGTTTCCCACTTATCGTTTTTTAAACCTTGCCACCATCGAAAAACTAATGATCACGGCATTACAGTTCTGTTTCTGTCCTAATTGAATATCCTGAATTTTTATCACGACTCGGCCATTGATTAACCACAAAAATTTGGCAGAAAGGAAAAGCCTTTCAATTGGTACAATTTTATCTAATAAGCCTATAAACCGCATTTTGATTCAAAATCCCCAACCTCTGAAATTATACATGACATGTATTTCCTGGTATATCTGTTACGCGAGTACGTCCGCGGCATCTGGAAACCGCGTTTTATTGATTTCTACACTTGAAGGCTCACAATAATTAAGATGGAACAGAAAAAAGAACAGTATAAAAGTCTAGTTCTGAATTCATTGCCTTATTCTGTAGATGTGTTTTATGGGCTAATTACTGCGGCAAGTATAGATCAGAATCGAAAGTGTGCTACACTAAATTTTCATTTTCGATACATCGGACAGATGCAGCGGCCAGCGGTCGTTCGCAAGATAGTGCACTCATCATCTATCTGGATAGGCATTCGTAGTCATGAATTATTTCGAAGCACCTCATTTGTCATATTCGCAGAATATTGCAAATTTGGACTGTTCGACAACTGATGTAAAAATTGCAACTCAATTTGAGTTATCTGACAATTAAAATCCGAAAACCGAATCAGTTTAAGTAGTCGAAATAGCAGTTTAATTGCCCACCATGCAAAAAGTATATTTATTACATCAACTAGATATCCAAGGAACTTTTTAATGCAAATGTTAACACCAGTATGTCTTTCCACTGAGATGAAAGTATTGTTTGACTTTTCCGTTGTATGACGACTATTAAGTGTATTCATTTCCGTTGCAGTATGCTGTACATGCATTATTGCAATAAGGATTTAAACAACCGCCAGTGCTATGCAGGGTCGATCTAGTGCGAACAATCCAGTTTTGTCGCATCGTGTGAAAGAAGTCAGATTTTGCGAAACCAAAATAGGCTGCGCATCAATATTTAAATTAAAACAAAACTGAGTAAGCAAGTTTGTCATATGCGGAAGTGGCGAGCATTGCAGCACGAGGGCATAGATTTCACCACTGAAGTTCGAAGTCGTACTTAACGTTTTATACCTCGCTTAATGTTCAAAGGTTTGCCGCGCTATTTACTTACGCTATTTACTGTCCGAGTGACCAGATTCAGTCCTAACGATACATAGGATGGAATTGCCAAACGGCGCAAAAAGAGCGACCACAAAAGTATTACATTATACGAGTAGCCATTAAATCATGTTCTGTTAGATCTGTAATTAACTTTTTCAAACACTATAAATTCAAGCCTACACGTCATCAGTAGGATGAATATTGTTTTCCACAGGCGTTATTGACATTAATTGTCATTGTCAAAAGCATAGAATCTGATATTGTTGAGCACATAAGCGGTTGATTCATCAGGATGAATGGTTTTAAAAATTACCGATGATTTCGTCAAAATAGTTTTGTCATGGCGTTGATATATCCAAACAAAGTAATATATATGAATAGGAAGTTTCACGTCAACCAAACGTATAGCGTCATCATCCCGACTATTAATCAGGGATATCTATGCATGGATGTACACAGTAGAGAATATGGACCACATTTCCTTTGGATCTTTTATTTTTTATTACTCACTTTTAGTCATATGAGTTGTACTACGAATGGTGTGCGACATATTACTAGTGATAAGCATAGATACTGCAGTACCAACAGTTACCACACTGTTAAATAGTTTCAGCAGTTTTGTAGCGTAAGCTAATCTCAAGTATCGGTCTTACAAGAAGGATTGCATAGGTTAAATACGTTGATTAAAGTTTTTTACTGTATTCATACCATATATATATATGCACATTTTCAGATTGTATATTAATTATTTTTAACTAAAAAACAAATAATGGAGCAAAAAACAATTTTTGGAGCACCAGGTTTCGATTTCTCCGAAATAAATGCGATCAAATTTGCGGAAATATGGAATCATTTTGACAAGGATAGTAAGTCTGCATTGTTTGGAATGTATTCGTATTGCACAAAATTGTTATATATTTTTTCTAGATTACATCTAATTTTGAAGTAGAAATATATTACGTGCAATATATGAGAATTTGGGTACTGTTTCCATCATTCCAAAATTATTTCAGTGGGAATATTTGAATGTTGTAGATAATAAACCAAAACATTCGCAAAGATTGTGCTTTATGATATGTTTTTGTAGAAATATGATGAGATAAGATATATTTGAAAACCGATTTTTATGTGAGGATTCGGAATCAATAAAAAATGGGTGTTTCAAATTAATTTCACAAGCGGTTGCTGCCAACTGAAGGTTCACTGATTATCGTTATTGTTGCAGTAAATTGATAAACCGAAAATTTAAATATTTCATTCCATTTCAGAGAGCGGATACATGGAGGGCAAGGAATTGGATCATTTTGTTGAAGAAGTCGGAACGAAAATACTGCAAAAGGTAAACTTTTTGAAATGTTGATATGTTTACGCCTCTCTGAATGAAGTCACTCTGCAAATTCCCTATTGCACACACAACACAAACCTCTTTTAGATAAATATCATAAGATCCAGAAAAGTTGCTGTTGTCCAAATTTTGATCGTAATCAATTCGACTTGGCTTTAAAACCCACAGGGAATCAGTTACATTTTCAACACCAGAGTCGTTGAATAATTAATTTCTTTTCTAACACTTCTAATGCATGACGGTATATTGTCTGCAAAACGAGCTATCCATTTTAGCGGTATGAAATTTTAATGTATCACATATTGCCCATCCGCGTTTGTCAAACGGCATCAAGTTGAAAATATTACCAAATTTATATTTTTCATCAAAAGGAGCACAACGAAACGGTAAGTTTTGAATGCACGAAAAGAAGTATTTAAACCATATATTAATGATTGTTTAAATACCAATTTTTGCAAAAATTTCCCAATGTATTTCGGTACGAGATTGCATACATTCTGTGTGGGGCGGCTGGAGATTTGATGATTTAATTAAGCACTATATGCCAGGGTATATATTTGAAGATGGCATGCGGCCATGAGATCAAACTTGTAGTTATACGAATATATTTTGAGCGAATATCTTCCCGAATGAACATTATCTATTATAATACATTGGTATTATATTTGATGATTTCGATTTACAATTTTGTAAAAACGCTTCTTGACTATTGTTGACTTGTTTTCTCATCGTCAAAGTTTTAGATGAAAAAAAGTTTCTATTTCAAAATAATGTATACAGTACTGAAATAACTGTTTCCTCACATTAGTCATGTTGTTTGCCATATGTTTGAAAAAATTATTATTTTTAATAAAATGTAGAAACCGACAAAAGAAGAGTTCAAAAGTTTAAAAAAGACTCTAATGTCCGCGTATGACCTGGAGAAAAATGGAAAGATATCAATGGTCGAGGTACAGTGGACATAGCTTAATTTTATACAATTACTACAATTCATTAAACTGCATACGTGAGTAAAGTAGATTATAATGATGAGTAATATATTAAAATAAAATATATGGTGCGAAATTGTTACATATCTCAAACATCAACTCTCAACTTCCACTAATATGAAAAAATCATCCACCAATCTCAAAGTTGCACATAAATGGCATATAGAAAAGCATGGCGGTAAATGGTAAATAATGTTGGATTATAGCATAATACTTACTTTTCATGTCTTAAGTACTAAATACTTGTGAAAAAATTGTTCTATTTCGAACATGTTTTCGAAATTAGACGCTAATGAAGAGAAAGAATATCATGACTTTCATCAAATTTTGAAATAGAAAAAATTCTTCAACGGTAAAGCACATATAAAGAAAGCATAATAAAAATCACACCCAATAACGTGTACTTGTATCTATCGTTATTTGGAAAAAATATTTTCCTATGTGTAATTCTAGTCCAAACTTATATTTGTAAAAAATTCAAGAGTTTTAGCGTGATCAATATTGTTTTTAATTATTGTGCAATAACTTCCAATTATAATAGCAAACCAGTGATGAGGCATTTTGAAACCTTAAAAGCATATCGTAGAATAAAAACAGGTCAAGGAATACTGCACGCAGAAGGATCACGAACTTTCGATACTTTTTTTAGAATTAGATAAATAAAATTGCATTTTTAAAAAACTTCTTCTGTAAATCATATTATGATAAATCGTTGTATATCAATGATTTCCATGACTACACCATATACTGAGTAAGCATGTCTAAAATGCATATTTTCACGTAAATACTCACAATTCCCATTTACAACAAGCGTACGTTCATAGAGTGCAATCGAAATTTATACTTTGCAATAGCATCTATATAATGGTGAATTTCCAGTGTTACAAATCAAATTACAAGATATACAATTCTGCGCAATACATAATGAAATAGAAATCAATATTTGACTAAATATCAATGTCAGCTGAATACATTTCCTAATTGTATAATTCGTTCAACAGCTTGCCCAGATGCTCCTTCCCAACGAACAAGTATTTCTTCTATTATTCCGAAGATCTGTTCCTCTAGGCTCAAGTGTCAAATTCATGGAGGTATGTTACGTTCCATAATTGCTTTATTAATTTCATTTAGTTTTCGGGTTAATATCGCTGTCACGTTTTTACCCATTTTATGAATTGGAGAAAACGTATACATTATATTTACAATTTCAATACTACGTAACTGCACGGTATTTTGTTTCATGTAAATAGACTGATGTTCTTTGTTTACTTATTCACAAGATATCTCACAATTTGATAACTTCATGTATGCCCAGCTTGTTTCTTAAAATACATGGATACTTATTACTTCCGCGTACTGGTATGACCTGCAATATACCTATCGCCCGGAAATATACTGAGATGAACCGATGAGTTCTTCGACCTGAATTAACTCTATCATAGTATTTTTTCACTTGCGCCCTATTGGCTTATAACCAGGGCTGTCATCGATATGAACCCCAAAAAAAGGACATCTGGGAAACATAGTAATAAAATAACAATGGACGAAATGTAGTAAACAAAAGGGGATCATGCCATTGCGACCCGTGTCTAAACAATCTGTTCCATCTCACTTCCAAGTTCACTTTCCCTTACGTTATGAACGCGCCTAGCAATCAGTGAGGTTCTAATATCCTTTCTAGCGAATCCATCATTCGAATTGACCAATCTAAGTGCAAAAACATGAACCTCTTAAATGAAACAAAAATAAGTACATGTGTCAAAAAGAGGACGTTTCTCCGAAATAAGGACGTTGTGGCAGCCCTGCGTATAAGGGCATTAATGATAGGCACTGTAGGCCAGAGAGTACTTGCAAAGTTTTTACCTGGTTGCATCCTGTTATATTAATTTCTCAGATAATAGCGAATCGGTGGAAATGGTTTTATGATATGTCTGCGGTTATGCTTTAAACTTTGTCAATTGACGACAGATGTGATTATATTGCATAAACTGAGAAAATATTTCAGTCATTACTTGAACAGGTTTTATAAGAGTAAAAAGCAATGTTTCTAGTTTTCTTTCTTTTTGGTTTCTCCCTGTAATACTGCAATGGGATATAATATGTTTTCATATTTGTTTTAGATTTGGCGAAAATATGATCGTAACCTGAGCGGATTTCTCACTGTTCCCGAACTTGAGGTAAGAAAATCTTATATATATATGTTTCATTTGTCATTGCCAAGCTGGTAGACTAACAGTGTTGCATAACAAACTGAATAGGATTCGAAAGTTTGTAAACTTCCTCGCGAATGAAATGGAATGTAACCAAATATATTTCGTAAAATAGAGCATCACTACATTTCAGTTAACATTTTGTTGTAAATCTTCTCAAGTGAACTTCCGACTTCCTCACTATATCAGCTAAGCATGAATGCTTGGAATAATATAACCCGAGCAGGCAAGTTTCTGTGTTGCCCTTTTTCACTCTGTCGTTTTCCGGAATAAGTTGAGGTCAAATCGAACTAGACAAGACTTGGAAAAAGAACTCGAGAAATTGCTAGGGATAGGACGAATCCGAGTAATATGTCATGGACTCGATTCGAACTTTCAGAGTCGATGACGTCATAATCGAACCGCAAAAAGCATGTTTCCGAATGTGTTCTTGTTTTTTAAAAAGCATAGATGCTTTAACAGCGCATCGGGAAAGTACACTTAATACATAATATGGCATTGCTATAGTTCAGTCCGATTTCCCGGTGTGATCGTTACTGCAAAAGGTTAAAATTTATTAATGACACCCCGTGAAACATTAACTATATTTATTCTTAGCCATCTGATTAAATAATTTAACTAGATATTGTTCGTACCGGCCGTTATAGAGGCAAACGTATACAGCATAAGCACCGATAAAAAAGGCTGAACTGTTTAAAAGGACTCGAATCCTTAGTAAAAAATGATGCAGACTCGATCTCGAATCCGAGTTTTATAAATGCGTAGATTCTCGAGTTAGTAAACGAAATCGGCTCATCCCTAGAGAATACTTATTTCAACCTAAAATGACCGATGGCACTGGTTGAATTGTCTCTTCCGACTGAAAGCTTTCCCTTCTTATTGTTACAATCATCAGCAGTTCATTACCAAGAAAAACCTAACTAACGTAACCATTAGAACACTACCATTATAATGACTAAAACAGAAGACAAAGACTAAAACAATAATGTATACACTTCTGTCCATCATCTGACTTAGTTAGCTATACACAAGTGTTTAACGTTATATAAATGAGTGATTCAAATTGATTAATTTTGGTATATTATCTTGTTTCGTTAAGAACTTCGTGACTGATTTTGTGAACCAATCTGGTGAAATGCTACATCCGAACAAAATCAAAGAATATGCCAAATCTATCGTGAGTTTTACCAATGATTCTTGATTTTTATTTGAATTTTTTAGTTGTGTTTGTTTGGCCTTTGTACAGCTTGTATTTTGCCGAGCGAGCAATTGTTTGTGATGGCCACTATCAAGATTTGAAATAACGTTTGCATTAGTTTTCTTAAAAGCCGATAAATCGATTTCTTCCTGTGTCACCCGCAAGACTTAAATAATTTAAACTCGTACTGAGATTATGCGTCTTTGGATTTTACGAGATACTTTTTGCACGAGGAAACCAAAAAAAAGTTTGTTTAACTATTAATGTCCTTTTAAACTTTTCTGGGTACTTTTGGCTTAGTTGTAAAATGTTCTCTATTAATTTTTAGATGGATTTATACGACCGCAACAACGACGGCCTTTTGGATTTAAAAGATTTGGCACAACTTCTTAATCTTACAGAAAATTTTCTTCTGAGTTTCCGCATCGAGGTAATTTTTCGAAGTTAATCTGCGTGTTCAACATAAACAAGACAAAATACTTCAATAAAATGGCTGAGTATCTCTCATAAAATTTCAGTGCCAGAATGTCCTAATACAAGCATTTTAGCAGTCTCCCCATCGCGACCAATATGCCCTTTGTTGCCTATGGCTAATTACCAAAGTCATGAACAACGTATGTACTCATATACCAAGAGAAATTGTGATAACTGTAATTTGAAAATGTATTGTACTTTTAAGTTGTAATGCAAAATAGAAACCTATATTTTGTACATCACAGAAGCATTAGATTTAGCATTACATTTATTATATTACTGGCATTGGGAAGCTGCAAGATAGCATTTTCATGAATAATTCATTTCCGCACTGCCTCTACCAAACCACAAAGTTTGCATTGCAAATCCAGCGATATGTTTCAAAAATTACTTCATAACAAGAATAACATATTGTAATGTAAGTCACTCAACATGGCTAGTTAAATTCAAGTATTTTAAAAAATGCTCGGAATGATAGAATATAATTTCATACAAATTGTGTTTTGTAGGATTCATCACAAGAAGAACGAAAAAGGGATTTCGAAAAAATATTCCGTTATTATGACGTAGTAAGTGACTTGTTTAGTATCTTCACATATTTCTTGTCTTGGAAATAAAAATATTCCATTAAATAATACCATAAGCAAGTGATTAGGAGCCCTATTATCGTTAACTAAATCGTTCTGAGAAGACTTGTCGTTTGAAATAGGGGATTTCAGTCAGATTTTCTTAAACAATACATTGTTATTATATAAAGCATATTCCCAATTTTTAAATAACTTGAATGACTTTGTTGTCGATAAGGCTGACATCTATATTTTTCAGGGAAACACTGGTGCTCTTGAAGGAGTCGAGATCGACGGGTTCGTTAAAGACATGATGGAAGTCATACGGGTCAGATTATATTTGTTTGTCCGTCTAACACTGTTGGGTTGTTTTATCATCTTATACGTCAATCAAATTTATGAGTACTCACTTGTGAGGAGGCTTATAGATCGTTATAGAATATTGTTTCTGTTGTTTTTATAGGTTGAAAATTGCTTTTCTTCTCAATTTAAGTATGAAAGAGAGTACGAGACAATAACTTTGATTTTTTGTCAAATTGATTCCTGCTATTTTTACTGATTTTAAATAATGGAGCCACTATGTAGCAATTGAACCTTTTTTTCTATATATCTGTGCAACCTGCCTTGTTGATAAGCAGGTTCGAGTGAGACAAAGTTTTAGACCAATTGTCAGTTTGTTTATACATTTAAAGGTAAATTTCCAGAATTTATTGCCAATAATAGTATTTTGAATCGGATAATCTCTTAGAATATCGTTTTTACACATAATAATCAACATCGCAATATTGTAATTTCTGTACCTCCAGGGTCCTTTATCGGCAAATGAATTGAACCAATTTAAAGAGGCAGTGATGAAACATTCAGATGCCAACAAAGATGGAAAGATACAAAAAGCTGAGCTCGCAGTTTGCTTAGGAATCCACCTGAAGAAATGATGCTGTTCAAATTTACATATAACGCTGTAGTTATGTGAACTTCTTGCCGTCGTTTTGCTATTATTTGCCTAGAAAGAGTTTGCAATAATTTATAATGAAATTTATTTTACCTGTCTTTCTCTCTGAATATAGATCTTCGCCGATGGTGATGATGTTTTTTTCATTTTAGTTATTGGTATAATCATGAATCTAATTCTACTCATTGACTATTTACTGTTGTTGCAATATTGTATATTTAGTATTTTGTGATGTACTCATTTAGATATGTGTGTGATAATTTTATTGTATAATATGTAATACCATAATTTTGTGTAGGATAATTTACAAGCAAGGCATTGAGCTTTACCAAGTGAATGAATTGAAAAAATACTTTCCCAAGCTCAAAGATTGATTAGAGTATTATATTATTGACATTTGCATGAATGAAGTAAACTAAGGTTACATTTGTATGTCGACCTTTTTGTCAAACATTTTGAGCTTCTACACAAAGTTGCAGTATCCCAAATCGTATTATAAAGGATTTTTAAGAAGAAAATATTTTTCGATCACAATTGTTTTATGCCACGAATAGTATCATAAATATTCGGAAGTCGCACAGAATTTTTTCTACTTTAAACAATAAATCGGTATGAAATATTGTTTTCGTCTGTGACATCCTCATATGCGAATCTAGTGTGTTCCAGAAAGTGAAAGACAACCTGCATTTGAAGACATGTCTCAGACATTTGATGGCGAATACGTCAAAGTAAGGTTATCGTTCGAAATTGCATGTGGAATAAAGTGAGTGATGACATAAATAATTGTATATTCCATCTTACTGATATATTTCAGCCATTTTTTGGACAGGACCGTTGGAGACTACCTCACAGGTAGACAGAAATTTGTAGAACTTGAGACCAACCGTTCTGTGGTGCTTTTCACTGAAACAGGAATTGTTCAGGGCAGCTGTTTACGACCCTTATTTTTATTATATATATATATATTAATGGAAAAACATGTACATATCGGAATGGGAAAATATTCGAATGCATTCTAATGTGACAAGTTAACAATCAATATAAATAAGTCTAAGATTGTTCACATTCACCCCAAACAAAACCTCCCGATGAGGCCAATCTCCATCAGCATTAATACAGACAACCGTAGATATATTGAGTAAACTCCAAAACATTACATTGATACAGACACGCTTAAATTAAATAAATTGGTATATTTTTCACTCTTTTTATCGTATATCCATTACGCAATTGCAACATAGGTGTAAATGTAGATTATAAGCGATTTAATCACTTATGATGGGGCTGTACAAGAAGCCTATAACATGTTGCAAGGTGACATTTTGCAGGTTAACAACAATTAATTCTAAAAAATTATTAATTAATTAAATCTGAAATATGCAAACAAAACCACTCAAGCAAACAACCCGCTCAGTACGGCATATAAGTTATCACTGCATAAACGGCAAACTCCTAATACGAAATTGTAAACAGCCGACTTACAATGATGTGCCTTGACGGGAGTAATTTACTTGAGGTCACGTCATTCACAATAAGTTCAACGACCTAGATTTCTCGAAATAACCGGGGTCAAATATATAAGAAACAAAACGATAAAACTATGTCTATAACATTCACGGCCTCAAAATCACGAATTGAACATAGGTCATTTTCAAACATTTTACCATAATACAAACAAAATTTTATTTATCACACTGGTTAACATTGGGTGCAAACATGTGCGATATCAAGGTAATTCTAAATAGCATAGCTTCCTTATATCTTGAAATAAACAAAACACATACACATAATTTGTGCCATTAACGTAAAATGTTTAAATATAAAATTATTGCTTTTCTGAATTGAAAGATCGCACTTTGAGTTTGTAACCAAACACAGCCTCCACATACACAGCAAAATGCAAGCAAATTCGACAAATGGGGCCTAACATTTCCCGTGTATATTTACAGTGTACAAACTCTTGTAAATGGAAAAGGGTTCACACTTTAATAACATTATATGAGTATTGCAATAAAATCATTTCAACCCTATGAAAAAAACTAAAAAAATTAATCAATATTCTAAAAAATATTTTAATATAAAGAAATTACGTAAATTTCACAAAAATCCGAAAAATCTTTAAATTGACCCAAAATTTGAACAAGATCCGCCTTCGGCGATCAAAAAATATTTAGGGCATGAATGGATATTTTAAACATTTTTCCAATCAAATATGTAGATCGTAAAAAAACTCGATCAGTCAAATCAGACTTGACAAAATACTTGATATATATATAACGAAATAACATAAATTTCAAAACATTCCTCAAAATTATTGGATTGACCCAAAATATGAACAAGAACTTCACACTTTGAGTAACAATCTCGCCATTATGTTTGATTGCGTTGAAATTTTATTCTATATATTGATACTAGATATACTGAATAACTTTTACTTTTGGATGAGACAAAACACGGGTTCTGCAGCATTGCACTACAAGCAACACTATGCTCAAAATTTGTTACGTTATTATCTTATGCAACACGTACAAAAAACAAATTCCAAATATTTGATTAATGAGAATGAAACAGCATCCGAAAAAAACCTTTGTACTTTCGTATCAGTGAATAGGTCGTCGCGTTCCACTTATGGTAATTAACATTCGGCTCTGAATGAAAAAAAACTTTGACTTTGACTTTCGGCCCCGGGTTGCAAACAATTCTGACTTCGATTACAGCTCCGAACTCTTAGAAAATCTTATTTTAATAACAAAATCTTTAGTGCATGTAAGCCTTCTTTAACTGGCTGTTGAAAACGCTTAGTAGATGCTTAGATGCTTTTTGAGTTTCTGCTTTGATATCCATTATCACCATTGAATGTCTGAATTTCTGACTTCAACAAATTTGAAATTTTGACTGCGACTCTGAATTGTATGCCACGTATTGGCACATATTTTAAACGAAATACCTCTCAATATAAACAAAAAAGAAAATTATAATAAACAAATGAAAATTCAGTGAAAAGTCCAGATTGTATAAAACAAAAATAATCACTGTTATTTAAACTCCTGAGTGTGCGATCATTGCATGGTTTAACGGTGAGTAATCGACATGAACATTATTTTGACCTGTAAAACTTGTTTTCAAACCTGTTCAAATTGTTTAATTTCTTTGACTTGGTCAACTTGTTTCAGAAAGTAATCGTTTAAAAGTTTTGCCGTTTTGAACTAGCATAACCCTGACACCAGATTTTACCTAATCTTACCATTGCAAATGAAACAACGATGCAGCAATCTAACTCCCTTCCGTCTGTTGGTATCGAGTTTAATCTCTGCATTAATTCGTTCATTTTTGCACTAAGTATTTTCCGGTCAATATGAGGGGGGAGGGGGCAATCAGGGAATATCTAGTTTGTATACCACAAAATAAATCACCGATATTTCAACTCCTTAGTGTGCGATCATTGCATGATTCACTTGTAATCGACATAAACACTATTTAAACTGTTCAACTTGTTTTCAAACCTGTTCAACAGGTCTAATTTGTTTAGTTTATTTGAAGTAATCGTTTCAGGAAGTAATCGTTCGGAACTTTTGTTGTTTGGAACTACCATAACCCTGGCATCATATTTTTCAAATTCTAATCATTGCAAATTTGCAAATGAAATAACAATTCAAAAAAAAACACGGGTGTCTTAAAAATGTCGTGTCCTGCTTGTTTCCATTATACCGGTATTATTGAAGTGCTTTCGTATCGAGGCCAAAAAAATGTTTATTTGGAGAAATTTTGCATGTGCGGGAATTTTCGTCAGCGTTTAGTTTTATCAAAAATCATGCTTTGACTTTAGATGCACGCTTTACTCACCTTTGGTTATGGATTTGACCTAACAATCAGAGAAAATCACAGCTGGTTTGTTTTCTAAGATAATATTATTTTATCAATGTAAACAATACAAATGGAACCTATTCGTTAACGCTATATAATTGCAATGTTTTGTCGTGGCCAATTTGTATATTAATGGTTTAGAAATACAGAAAATCGGCGGTTACCAATTTTTAACGGCCTTGTTACATGCATATTCTCTCATGCACATTTCTATCAATATAATCGGAGCTTTTGTTATCGACCGATTTGAGATTTGTCCAGATCAAACATTTTTAATAATAGTCTTCTATTGTCGCAATCGGGGGATAGCGATATTTAGGCACACTAGCGTAATTCATTAAATTCCAATTTCATAATCTTTCAAGATCGCAACTATAAAAATATAAAAATTCTAGTTAAAATTATTTTTCAAGAGTTATACGTAGTTTGAAACAGTGATCGGCAACCATCGGGAAACAGTGCAATATCATACCGTTAGAAGCAATATGGCCATGATATTTGCTTATCTTGAATTTGAACACGGTATTATAAAATGATATTGGTTTACGAAAAATATTAGTCAACAAAGAAAGTTTATCGTTAATCAACATCGAACATTAAAATTCTTTGCGTTATACAGTTGAGTTGGACCTTGAAGTTAAGTAAAATAATTGTTTTTGAAGGGCGGGGCGCCTAGATTAGATTCAAACTGGCCCGCTGATTGCAGACGCCTGGTTTAAAATAATCGATCGGTACATACTTTCTGGAACCGGCTTCTAACCCGTATACTTAAATTCCATAGTGGGGTGGGGCATAGAATCTATCATTGAAAAATCGAAATCATTTATCATTTTAGTTCTACCCAGCCGAGCCCCGCGCAATCCACAGTGTTCGAATATTATTATTTGCAATTGTATACTGAACGACAATTTAAATTAGAATAATATTATCTGTTAAAGGGTGAAGCAATTTAGTTGGGCCGTGTTCTCTTTAAATTTATGACATGACATAATAGAGTTAACTGGCGTAGATTGCAAAACATGCCTTGGCCTGTATTTTCATAAAATAGGTATTCATTGTAACTTATGATGTTCGGTAATCGACTTTCATTGAATCAAAGTTGGCGAAATTCTTCGACTCAAAATGAAGATTCCGATTTCAAGCATTCTTCTTTTGTTTATTGAGGCATTTTCATTGATTGGAGGTCAGTACAATCGTGCATGCTCTTTTGGGTTTGCATGTTTTTTTTCGGGCCCCTGGTAATATATTTGATTTCATTCCCGATTGGTAAGCTAATTCTTACTTTACCTAGAACAAGGGTGGGCAACTTTTTTCGGTTCGCGTGCCAAAATCGACTAAATTTAAAGATAAAATTCTTTCGCGTGCCGACAAAAATTGAAAACAATGCTTTGCTACTTTCAAAGCAAAAATCCACAATAATAAACCTTTTAAACATGTACAGATGTTCCTATTCAAGAAAATATGAGTCTGACAAATAGATCTGATTACTTTTCTTATTTGATATCAGTGAGACTTCTGATGCTGCATAACCGCTGATAGAGATTTTACATTGGGTTTATATTTTGTAACCTTCAAAGAAATACACGAACTACTGGTTTCATCTTTCGGCTACTCCTCCTACGAGACTTAATGAAGTTCATAACTAGGAACAGAGTTTCACAATCATATGTAGATGGAAGTAATGCAGTGCAAAGTTTTTAAGACACGAAAATTTTTTGGAAGTGGCATCCTAATCACGCAATAGTTAGTTTTCTGCACTTCTCTCATGTATTCCCTTTTCTAATCGCTTATATGTCTTTCGAAATCCAGTATAACAGTAAGTTAGCAAGTAGTACCTTTAACCAACATGAGCTCTACAACTTGAAAACTCAAGCAAAAACGAAGAAAAAGGGTGGCACAGACGAACTATATTACGTATGAATATAGTCAAA